GTACCCGCCTCATATTCGGCGACTATTTTTATCGAATACCCGTGAAATTCGTGTACATAATCAAACGCTTCGATTTAACGCATTTTCTTGCGTTCGCCTCGCCTCGTCTCGCCTAGCCTCGAAAATCTTGTTTGTCCCGTCGCCGTCGTCGTCGTCGAGCCGTTCCCTCTCGTTTCTGTCCCTTCTCTTCTTATTCCCCCTTGAACGTTTCTCTTGATAAAAAAGATGTCCGTGCAACGTGGAATACGCATTAGGTGGGACAAAGGGAACGACGCAATTTCTATGTGCATACTCTCAAGGATAGGAGCCATGTCTTTAGTGTCCGTTCCGTTTCTTCTTACTCCTTGACTGCGTGCACAGATGCGTGCGTGTGTGCCGTGTCTGGACGACGGCAGCGCCGATACGATTCAAGCGCAAATGCATACTTATGCGTTTATCCTCCCTGTTCCCTTCTCTCACCGCGGTTTTTATACCCCCTTCCGTGCACCCACATCCGCACTGGTCTTAAAATCCCTCCCCTACGCCCCTTTCTATCCCCCTTTACGCCCTTCGCGTATTCCCCGGACTAGAGAGACGGCTACTCTATTTCCCCTCCCCTCGGTTCCCGACTAATTTGGTTATGCAAAAGTAGGAATCACTAGAAATTATTAATCGAATTAAAAATATTTAGAAATCCGAAGAGAACTGATACTAGAACGCTTCGAATCAGCACGATGATTATTAATCGTTGCTCGAAAGTTGTGAAACGTTTCCATGCGTACAAGATTCGGATAAAATGACGTGGTCGGATTTTCTAAACTTCTTATCTTTATGGAACATTCGAAAGAATCGAAACACTTTCATCGTACGTGTCAAGTGGGTGGTGGTGGTTAAACCGCGTTTTCAGCTCATTGTTAATTACGTCTGTATTCATGGAACAAGCGCATAACGTGAGAGAGAAGCGTTTTACGTTCTGCGCTCATGTTCAGTGCGATGCTGTCTCGCGAATGCTAGTGATAATCGGTGCGCGTAGTTGCGAGGTTATAAAGATCGAACGATCTACGGGAACTTGTTCGATAGATTATACGAATTATGGCGGATGTGCTTGCTGACGACGTGAAATTAGGAATAAAAGACGCGGTAAAAGTTTAAATAAAATTGACAGCTATCGGACGGTGCGTTCACGATAGAAACGATTAGCAGGTTGATGCTGTGTGCCTGGTGTAGATTAGAACGAGCCACACCTCGCTTTCTTTCGCTGCGAGTGATACCGTAAAATGGCTGCATGTAGAATTACCGCAGGAATAATATATCGCGTAATGACACTTTTTATCGTCCATTGTCGACAACGTGTATGCACATACGTTACTCGTGCGTGAACCGTATAGTCGTTTGAATTTTTTCCCTAGATCATTTCCTACTATACCGTTGTATTTTTATTTAGCATTATCTCTCATATAATTTTGAAACCACGTGTTATTAGAATGCAGTGTCGAACTTCGTTTCGTAAGAACAATGAGTAGACTATAGGATAAATGATAAATAAAACACAATTGCAAATACAAGTTTAGACTGTTTTTATTATTGCCACAAAATAAATACTTGTACAGGCTTAGATAATATACTTTACCAAAGATAATTCGATAATTTCGTTCGCGAAGGTTATGTGTGCATAGTATGAAGGTTTTGAATGTTCAATATATATTTTTGTAATTATTTTGAATTATTTATAAACCGAAGTGACAATTTCCACTGTGCGTTGAGATTCTGGATCTCCTTGATCTGTAATCGATTCTCGATTTTCTCGAACGATCGTATCGAAATCGAAACTGAATTTTAAATATTTGTAATTCTAATACAATTCTAATTGCACAAATTTGCGTAACATTCGTTAAAAAAATTCCTCATTAAATCTGTTTATCGTGCAGGTACTTATATTCGATCGATCGATACTCTTTGTAACAATTGTAAAGTATCGAATGGAAGATCGATCTTTTTTGCAAATGGCGTACGTAGCGCATGGTAACTATTTATTTTCAAATAATGGCGACGATTAGAGAAATGACATTGTTCGAGTCGTAGAAAAACATCGGTCATTGTACAAAAACATGTTTCCTTATTCCAAATAAAAAGCTTCCAGATAAGAAAAACGGAATGTAAGAACGGAATGCGTCATTGTTCAGCATGCGGAATGAGTCAAACGTAAACAAAATCACGTTAAAATCGTCGCGAGTTGTCTTTAGGAAGAGCAACCGCTGATTCGCGCTTTTGTTTGTAACGTTGAATCAACTAGCTAGTTACTTTCCGTTAGAAAGTATTTCCATTCCATTTACTCTGTAACTTTCGTTTAATCTAGTGTCTTTCATTGAATACCCGACATCGTGTTTATGCGTCGCTGTCATTGTTTGCATTGTAATCGTATTTGGGCAGCGCTTTATGCTTTGCAGGGTTAAAAATAGCGATCGGTAGAATTTCGTAATTCACTAGCAATAATTTGCACCGAATAATTACGCGTTAAACCGTTTAACAGATTTATTTTGACTTTAAGGGGAAAAAAACTGTTCGTTTATATATGCGAGGTTAGAAATTTTCCTCTCGTTTTCTTTAAATAAGTATTTCACCATTTTACGAAATCTCGTTTTGGAAACGCCAGAACATTCGAACGCGCTAGATGACTTTCTTTTTTATTCGCGGAAACGAAATTTTTTAGGTTATTCATCACGCGTGTGTATCCAATTTAATCGTAAATAAGTTAAACAGCTGATAACCCCAACGCAGAGAACCGTTTACGTTTCAGACACGTTTGTTGCAATTGATAAAAATTCCTATCAACCGTAGAATGAAAGGTTTCTTATTAATTTGAACCTTTTCAGTATGTAAAAATGACGACATCTCTTCTTACGTCATAGAATTTCATTGTTAATTTTGATACAGGCTGGCTATCGCTTCGGTGTTTATTGCACGATTGAAATTCAACGGACAACTAATATTAGAGCTCAAGAACATCTTTAATCGTACATCGATAACGCGTCAAGTTTCCCGCTCTCTTTCGTTTCGATGATTTACCCTCGAAACTATCGATACGCTGTAACGCGAGAAACGCGTGCTGGTAAAAAGGAAAATGGAAATTTATTAATAAAAGAGTTGCATGTAAAATAAGATTATCAAAAACAATAATCAGTGCATATAGAACTGTACAAATAATTTAAAAATATGGTAATTTATTTTTTGAAAATTAATTTCTTCAATTTCTTTTCTCAACGGAAATCGAGATTTTTCGACTTATCGATCTTCGCCGATAACACTAGAAATATATCACGATTTTCTGAACAATTAATTTTGTATTATATAATTGTTTTGAAATAAGAAAAGAGCATATACATATATAAATATATAATTATAAAAAAAATAACACGTGATTTCATTAATATTGTATGTCATAAATTGCCAAGTTCTTGATAGACGTTTCTGCGCGTGTCCCTAGAATATGATTATCGTTTTTAAGTAAATTTCAAAGATCTAGTAATTTAACGAAAAGGAAAATACGAAGTGATAGAGCAAAGTCATTTAATGTTATCGTATGCGATGAGTAAGCAGAAAATCTATCTTTTGTATTTAACGTTGAACACGATTAAACGAAGTTTTCACTTTCTTTTTTAATTCATCGTATTTATTTTCACAACTTCCTACCACGTGATTTACGTTTGATTCGGTTCTCAATTACTACAGTGACGTCACGTGTTCCGAAGAAGTAACGGATTTAAATCCCGTTCATTTCGTGCTTTAACCCTTTCGTTATGGCAAGTTTTCACCGAAACACGCTACGATGAAAGTTACTAATCGTTATTTATCGCGATCGATTATTTTTCATGAAAAACGGATACGCTCTTTTTTTCCGCTTCGTTCGAAGCATTCGAAGCAACAGGTTTGAATGTTTTTCATGAAAAAAAAAAAAAATTTAACGATACAATTAATCGCCCGTACTATAACCTATATTATTATTTGTTTTATTAAGTGATTTTATTATTCGACAGCCTGTCGCACACCGTGATTGCGTTTTAATCTGCAAAAATCAGATTTTTTTCAGATAGCGTGAAAGTGAAAACGCTCCTTGAAGTTTAGAAAGGCGCGGGATGTAAATTTGATCGAAAGAGAAAAGCGCGTACCAAACGAAATGAAATTTGATGTAGTTGATTGTCGATGTCGAAGAAATTAATAAAAATATTCCTCGTTGCACGTCTAAATAATAAAAGAAAAGCCTGAAGAACAAAGAAAGTGATCTTTTTCCTATGCTTTCATTTTTACATTCGTCGGCGTACATCAAACAACGTGTAGTTTCAGTTTTATTACGTTACGTAGGTAGCATCGAGAGTTCACGCTACGACATCTACTGATTCGTTTGAGAAATACAGTAAAACGTATCGTCATGTAATGTTCCTTGTTGGAGTATTATCAGAGTGCGTTGTAGATCGAATAGAGTAGTGCGTATTAATTTTTCACTTTTACCGAAGAAAAAGCACGCGTTAAGGGTTCGATCATCGTAGAGAAGGGAAATCGTGAAGAGGATGATAAATCTAACGTAGAAAGAATAATCGTGCGTTCGCGCAGGCGCGGGGAAAGGAGAAGAGACGAGTAAGTCGTGTAATACGTATGTATTTAAAAAAGAAAGAGAGGAAGAGAAGAAAATAAGTGGGAAATTCAAGTAAAAATCAGTGGAATATTTGATTTTATTTTGTGTAATTTTGTTATACATATTGTACAAGAAAAGTTAAACGTTATTAAAATAAACGAAGGTTATACGACGTATTACTAATTTATAAGTAGTTAGCTGCGTAAAAGGCGAGGCTCGTGCAAATTATGCTTCACAATACCTAACCTTATCGTGGAATAACTTGGTGGTGCGGTGTACACCGCGGTCGCTGGTTGCACGTCCGCCCAGAGCTGCCCGTCCGTACGAATCGCCATCATGAAAACATTCGGCCGTCGTCGTCGTTATCGTTGTTTCTCCTCCGTCCTTGCAGGTTCCTCGGGATTGAAGTAATATCGAGCGCTCGAGCGCGAAGTTGCACACAAAGAGCGAGAGAGAGAAAGAGGGAAAGGGAACGAGCTATTTGGTAACGTTTCGTCGTTTTAGCTTGCTCGAGCCTCGACGGACAAAGCGAACGCGCGCATTCAGTGGCCTGCGAATTGTGCCGAGATACACGAGACCGAGCCCGGAAAAAAGAAAACGAGCCGACACGACCGACGGGTCCGTCGACTATCGATGCGCGGCTCGTCTAACGTCGTGATAAGGATATACGAAGCCCACTTAAATGCTTCGAACGAATTCTTACTCCATGTTGTGCGTTGGTTGCGACACGACTGCGTGTTGGAAAGTGAGTAATATCACGTTTCCCGATCACGCCTCTTCCATCGAATTTTATTGCGCCGATCAGAAAAAAAAAAAAAGAAAAACCCTCAATCGTCCCCGGACAATGCGTTCGAAATTCCATCCCCGATCGTGTTCAGTTCGTTCATCCTCCCCTTTTTTTCTTTCCTTTCGTTGTCACTTGTTTTCTCTTCGTTCTTGACTTCACGATTTTATTTGCCCTTGTAGGAATTACTCTCTCTCTCTCTCTCTCCCTCCCTCTATCTTTCTCTCTTTCTCTTTCTTTCTTCACCACAGATCAGTTTTACACGAGGGAACGGCCCTTGGTCTCGAGATTATCCGTTGCTGACTATTTCTATTCTATGCATAGTCCTGGACGAGTGCGCGTGTGTGCCAGTGCAAATTCGATATGAAAATTCGTGTGTTCAGTTTTTATCAAATTCCACAAACGTACTGGACGTATCTGTGTTTCATATAATGTGCTCCCTATCCTTTCATATCCTTTTAAAAGTTCCTCGTGATCCGCATAGTAGTTCGAATACGGTTTTTAAACAATAAGTGACAAATTTGTACGTAACAAAGGATATGTGTGAGCAAGAACTTGAATCTAAATTTAAATCTTGCTGTCTCATCGTTGAGGACCAAAGCTGTGACAGCGAAAGCCTTGTTCCATATACCGTTGTGATTTTTCATTATTCTTAAGCCAACACGGTTACTTGCTTCAAATTTGAGATTTAGCGTTGCATGTACATAGTTTCATTTGTGACCATGAAAGTGAACGCTAAACAGTTATTGGTTTTGATAGGTGAATGTATGGTGACACGCGGTCGTGACGGAGCAACCAAAGAGCAAGTTGTGGCAAAAGACGCATAATTGTTCGTCTAGCTGATTGCAACTACTTGGAGCTTCACGAGTGATTGCAAATAGGAAGAAATTAAGGACTTGTTCGATCATCGCTATCCACCTTGGAATAATCAGACAAGATGGAACGAGAATCTAATCCAATGCAAGCTCTCTGCCGCAGTGGCTGTGGATTTTACGGCTCGCCAGCCACGGATGGCCTTTGTTCTCTTTGTTACAAAGAAAATCTGAAGAAGAAACAGCAACCACCTGTCTCCGCTTCTACTGTACCACCTTCGCAGACCGTCTCTGGTAACGCTGGTACGTTGCAAGGCGGTTTTGGTAGTCCTGCGGCAACAGGAACTACCGCGCAACCCACCATTCCTACCATACCTCAACCAACAACGGATCTACCCAACCCCAAAGAAGTGAGTTATTCGTTTAAGTATACGTACAATTAGAAAGTTGTACTTTTTATGGTTCAACCGTTCATTTTCTTCAGGTATCTGTCACCTGGTATCTATTCAGATTCTGGGATACTCGAATAGAGAATAACAAATTGATCTGTATTGTAGATAAATAGGGAAGATCAGGAAAGCGAAGTGAGTATTAGCAGCGGAGCAGTAGCAGAAGGATCAGTGAGTAGTGGGGACGCGGACGACTGCTTTGATGGCAAAGAGACTGACAAAGAAACAAAGAAGAAGAAAAATCGTTGCGCCGTGTGTCGCAAAAAAGTTGGTTTGACGGGTGAGTGGAAAACATCCCTAGGACGTGTTCAGTGTTCATTTTCACAGATGTGCATGGTTGATGTGTCTCTCTCTCTGTTCCTTCTTTTGTTACAGGATTCGAGTGCCGTTGTGGAGGACTGTTCTGCTCTGTGCATCGATACAGTGACAAGCACGATTGCAAATTTGATTATAGAGAAATGGGCGCTCAAGAAATTCGGCGCAACAATCCGGTTGTTGTTGGTGAAAAAGTGCAAAAAATTTGAACTATTTAGTGCGTAGTCGTTGGGAAAATGGTTATATAACTATATAAACAAACAGAATATAAAACGGAGAAAACGAGATAAATTATCTGGCAGCTGATTGCACGTCGAGGGGCGAAACGGGTGAATGCGAGAATCGTGAACGAAAGAGAAAGGGAGAGGTGGGTGCACGAGTGAAAGGGAGAGAGAGAATGGGGGGGAGAGAAAGAAACATAGTAACGAGTGTGAGAACACAGGAAAGAATGAGTAGCGTTTAACGGGGTAGAGAGAGGACTAAAGGGGGAGAATGGGAATAAAAATTGGTAACACGCAAACGTAGAAACACCGGGAAACACGAAATTTCTGAGGTTAGGTGAAACCGAGATATAGATACAAGAGAAAGATAAAAAAAAAGATAAATAAACAGAAATTAAGAATGCGTGCGACGTGTACGAATGTGTTTCGAAATTTGAATGTCAGTGCCATTGTCAGATTGTCGTATTTGCGAGAGTTTTAATCGAGAATATATTTGGTTCTAACTGCTGCCAGCTTACTACTACTATTACCTATTATTATCTACGATTATTACGGTTTATTATCATTCTATATTATGTTTATTAATTTACTTAAAAACGCAAAATTTACGTATGAAATGTTTGTTTTTTTTTTTTTTTTTAAACTAAACGAATTCTTGGTGCGGTCAGTCTTGTCCAAGACGCGTCTCATCGGGAGTTCTGATTTGAATTGAGAGAGAGAGAGCGCGCGTGCGCGAGCGAGAGAGAGATATAACAAGATTTAAAGAAAAAAAAAAATACAAATTTTATATATATTTCTGTTTCGTTCGTATATCAAAAAGTAAAAAAAAAAAAGGGAATGTTGCTTAGGTAGTGGCTGACGTTGATGGGTGATCACAATCCTAGGTTAACAATTAGTCTAATAATTATTAAGTATATTAGTCTATTGATTCATAAATAATGCAATGAAGTATAAGTAGTACTGTGTGTTTATGTCCAATTTCACGTGAATATAACCAGCATTATTCCTCATTAAATATGTTTCAAACTATATTGCAAATCATTATTTACGCCATGTGTTCACGAATCTCCGCAAAAAGTGAACCCTGTAATATTTATCTGGATTCCCTACTGGTCGTTGCAGTAGAGAATCGATTGTGTCGGACTTGCCCAATCGATTTTCTCGAGTTTCTTCTTCTTCTTTTTTTTTCGCCCTTGTTACGAATCGTACGTACAAAAGATGCACGACAGATATTATTGTATATTGGTGCTAATATAATTGTACGATGAAACGTCTAAAAACACGGCCGACCCGATAAAAGAGAACGAAGGCCCCTCGACGAAGGGACGACTATCGTCCTAATTCGATCACAAAATTGCGAACAGATCAGAAACGATTCTCCGTCTTTAACCATTTTCTTCTATGTTGCAATATTTTTAAAACGAACATTACGATCTTTTCTTTTTTTCTTTATGTGTCTCTGACTCTTCTTAGGTTAGCTCGTAGGAAGAAGTAAGTGTTGAGTTTTATGTCGCTTCTATTAAAAAAAAAATTTTGAGCGAACTATATATATATATACATATATATATAAATATACACGCATCCTTGTTGTTTAGTAAATTTTCTTTCTTTTTTTTTTCGAATCATTTTCTCGCATATTGTAATTTTATTTTCTTTATCGTGTGTGAGAATCGATAGTCGTCGCTGGGTCGTTTTGCGATTATTCTGCGAAGGTAGAAAGGAAAAAAAGAGAGAGTGAGAACGAGAGAAAGAGAGAGAGAAACGAAAAAAAAAATCACCGCACTGTATCGTACCATCACGTTTGTTGCTGTCTTTGAGATATACTTGCGTTTTTTTTCTATTTTTTTTTCTTTGTTTCTCTGAAGAAAAGAAAATGGAAGTATCGAAACCTTCGTCTATTAAAATTCTGCGTGATAGCCGATAGCGATAAATATCGAACGAACTCTTACGAATGCAAGAAGTCCTTGTATTGATTACGTTATATAGAATAAAGTGAATCGTTCTTAATTTTCAGTACCACGTTATCGATGCTCCTGATTTTTTTTTGATTTTTTTTTTTCATTTAGTGAATTTATGTATCTAGAGGAGAAAGTAAACCGAGCATAATATATATAATAGACGAGTAACAAGAAGAGGCGGATTAAAGTTTCCCACTTCTATTCGTGATATAAAATTACGTTTAATGCATAACTTATACAATATTTGCCGTCACATTCACCAGACAAACACGCTAAGCATAATGTCTAATGGACAATATAACATAAATTTATGTGTACAGAAACGAGGACTTGATCGGTCGTCACAGGTTTTTCAACTTTTTGTAATCGTCGTACGAAGAAAATGTTATAAATAAAAATCGTATTGTTTCAATATAACTAAAACAGCACATTGTTAACGCACTTCTACACGTTGTTCATTGTTTATTTCTTTCAGAAATGGTGTGTTTCTCAATCTTTTCATTTATGTATGCTTATCGGTGTAACTAAGATGTTATCATTTTTTTTATTCAATCATTTCTAATGGAAAGGCTCACCTTGGCCAATACATTTGACACTTTGTTACATTTGATTTATTCAAGTGTTGGACGCAAATGCCATTTTGAAAGACACTTGTCATTTTCCCCTAGATAAAGAATTTTAATTACACCATGTGTATATATATATATATATTGCATGTATTGAAATCATACGATTATTATTTGAAAACATTTCTTTTGTTGTGATCCTTCCAATGAGCACCTACGTTTAAAAAACCGTCTCGCATGCCATTTATATACGTATGTAGTTTGTTGGGACTCGTTGCCGCGAAAGAGTTTCGTTCTGGCTTAGATTGAAGTATAATATCGGTAATATTAATGGAATGGTTGGGCCTTCATCCTATTTCAGGCATAGCATATTTTTCTAAGATGTAACGGTGTAATCCTGCCAGAGCTGCCCCTAGCTGAAGGGCAGGTGGGCTACGCGTCCCGGGCTCCACGATTAGGGGCTTCCACGTCTGAAAAAAAAAAAAAAAAATGTTACTTTATTAGAATGGATTTCAGGAACGGATCCGGATGGGGCCCCGTTACTTCTAGGGGCGGCTCTGAATCCTGCCTATAGTCAGAAGAAGATAGGTGTGAGAGAATGGAAGAAAATTTGAGATTGGTTAAAAAGAACGGTGACATTCGTGCTCCTCGGCTGACTATACAGGGTATCTCAAAAACATTGTATACTGCAAAAACTATAGTCCTTGAAAGTTGAAAGGTCCTGTACCATTTTGCAATTTACAGCTTTGTTTTTTCAATTCTTCACGCCGCCATTATTTAAATATATAAGGTGGTAGACTGCAAAATGATAAAGCACTTTTTCATTTCAACATTCGTGTAACCTTTTTTGAGACACTCTGTACAAGGACGTAATGATGCTTGTAATTATTGCATGATTGATATTAGTATGTTTAAGCGATTAAAAATAACACGTCGATTTTAATATATATTATATATCATTACGATTTACCATCCTTTGAAAAACCGCTTTTAGCTCTTAGGTTCTTTCATGGTTGAAAATGGACACGTTCTACTTATTTTGTTTTTGTTTGATATACTTCCGGATCGTTCCTCGTCCACAAGTTTAATTAGTATTGTCAATTACGAAAATACGTGATGTTAGTTGAAAAAAACAAAAAAATTAGATAAATATAACAATAGGTACGAAATAGAGTACATTGCCTCTTAAAATGAAAGGTTTACAGAAATGGTTCCACTTTTTCGTGTCCTTGTAACCGTCCATGTAATGCTATCTTCTAGGCTCCGCTAGGGTATCCTGTTGATGAGTCTGCATTAACAGGTTCAGGATATGTTTTCTGTTTTTTTCTTTCTCTTTCCTACAGCTCAACCATGATTACCTTCTACCATTTCATTTTGATTTTGGGCATCCGAATCATTCATGACGGTGACCTCTATGCTGAAGTCTGGTGTTGAATTGTTTCTTCTAAATTATTTGTAATTAACTCGTAATAACTTTCAATAAACACTAACCTTCATTATTAATGAAAAAATAAACTTTATACAACACTTTTATCAATAAACTTTATATTTGATAAGTTTCAACGCTCTTTCTTCTTCAGACTTTCGAACAAATTCTTATTAAAAAATTTATGTAGATGATGGTTGGTAATGCAGTGAATAAATTTAACGAGTCACTGTGTTATCATATTTGAAATAAAAGTTAAAAGAATAAGAGTGGAAATGTAAAAATTGTATGGAGGAATAGGGAATTATTTAGGATGATTGTAAATATAAGTATAAAAATTACAAATAAAAAGAATAAAAAATTAAAAAAAGAGTGAACAGAAATGATTGGTATTGTTGTAAAATAAAAATTAGTTGTTGGTTTATTAAAATTATTATTATGAAGTTTGTAAGCCTTGAAATAATCTGGAATGCTCGTGCCTGTCTTACCAGCCCTTCTTTTACCACACCTTGCATTCATAACTGAGAACGGATAATTGTAACTCTCTTTGTTTATATTTTTTATAAGATCGAAAAATTATTAAAAGTTTGTCAAATTTGTCGTTCAAAAAGACCGCCATAAATTAAATATTTATAAAATTCGATCCAAGCACCATCTATACAAAAATGGCGGAAACTACTCAACAACTTACCGTCTAAGTTTTCGGAACATGTAGCGGTCGAGGTCGATAAGGAAGAAAATGTCCATAAAGAAGAAACTCTCGACGCCGCCTTTATTAGTCGTTTTCGCTCATTATTTATTTTTAAAAACAAAATTCAAATAATTTTTCTGAAATGGAAATAGATTTCATATGCTTGGGAACGCAATCGATAAGTTGCCGAGTAGTTTCCGCCATTTTTGTATAGATGGCGCGAGGATAGAATTAAAAAAAATGTTTAATTTATGGCGGTCTTTTTTGAGTGATTAAATTTGAGATTATTGTTTCATGGGCAATTTGATTTTGCAATTAATTTATAATTAACGTACGACACCACCAAAGGCTTTATAATGAAGTCTTCATCTGATGATATATCGAAGTAATTTGCTGTTACCGTCAACTAGCGTTAGACTGCTGCAGTGTAAAGTGTTTTACATTTTTATATTAGAATAGAGCAGACGGTATCATTTTCGAGGCACAAATTCAAAATCCCTTGAAAACAAAGGCATATTCAATCTTGTTGGATTTGTAGTCATTGCTCCTATATAAGTAGCGTTAAGACGCACCGCGAGAGGACACTGTAAACGTGTGTACATGTTTGAAAGTGAGGTTATTGTACGCGCTTGATATTTGTAAACTTTAAATGCTTATAATATAAGAACTTCTTAATTTTGAATAAATTAAGAAAGTTTTTAAGCGTTAACATTTACGTTAATAAATTAAGATAATCACAATGTCGATTGGAGTACCGATAAAAGTACTCCATGAAGCGGAGGGTCATATCGTAACCTGTGAAACAAACACCGGTGAAGTTTATCGTGGAAAACTAATTGAAGCCGAAGACAATATGAACTGCCAAATGCAAAACATCACAGTTACTTACAGAGATGGTCGAGAAGTAGAATTAGAAAACGTTTACATTAGAGGATCTAAGATTAGGTTCCTCATATTACCAGATATGTTAAAAAATGCACCGATGTTTAAAAGACCTGGCGGGAAAGGTTCAGGAACTGCTGGCAGAGGAAAATCGGCTATTTTACGTGCTCAAGGTTCATTTATATTTTAATCTTACATTTATAAGTTACAACCAATTACATTTACTAATATATTAACACATTTTTATTGCAGCTCGTGGAAGAGGTAGAGGTCAGAATCAAAGAGGTAGAGGTACTGGTTCGGCCCCTTGGCTTAATCAACAAAATCAACCTGGAGGCTCTCAGACAGGAAGAGGAAGAGGTTAACAGTTTCTATCTATAAGGCACGGACGTATAAAACAAAGGGTTTGGAGTCTGTCGAACATTGTTGATCATTGCAGAATGTATCAGAAAAGATCCACTTTTGCGCGCAAAATTTCTATGTATATTACATATGTTTTTTGACAAATTAAACAAATAAAACAAGTATTTGAATATATAATAATAAATACACATCATTGTCCACCTTTTTCTGGTTCTTTTTCTTCCCGCTCGAGGTTAAGTTTCCCTAGATCTAGGGTTTAATCAACCTATAGTATGAGAAGCCGCCGCAGCCTCGGTATTTAATACGTCAGGATGTCGACCCTTGCGGTTCGCCACACGAGGTAATTAGCGTCAATGCCAGGCTCACCAAGGATGGTGACAGTAATTGATCATTAACATTTTCGAAAGGAATTTGATCATTTGGACCCTATATGTTTCTTCATTGATCGGCAGGTAAAGGTCGTACGCGTATAAGTAGGAAACAGAAAAGATTTTCGAAACAGAAAGTAGCGGCTGAGAAAATTGATTGGTATGGAGAGAAGTACCGGGCGGAGGTACGAAGACGAGACAACTGAACAGCCAGTAGATTATAGTAAAAAGTATCGGGAAAGAAAAACAGGAGGTGAAAATCATTCGATTGAGAATTCAACCCGAACCGTTCGATCTTGCAAGAAAGAATACAGGGAACGCGACTCCAAAGTAGATTTATTTGGAGATTATGCCGAAACGGATCTCGATCAACCGACAGATTACAGCTTAAGATATGCCGAGGACGATACGGACGACGATGAGAAACAGAGCCCTGAATATTTTCCAGGCAGCGTACAGGAAGACACTATAAAAACATATTGTACGGAGGGAACTCCGTATGAGACACCTTTCAATTTTTCTACCGCCACTTCCATGTCCGACTTACGTCTTGAAGATACAAAAGAATCTGTGGATTCGCAGAAGAAACATAATAAGAAAGTCCATGATCATGGTCGCAAGGAAGATCTGTGCTTTGAGCGTGCTCTGTCTTTGAATTGTAACGAAGAGCAATCTCTTCTCGTTGAGAAAGAGTTGAAAACATCCAAAACTTCTCAGACTCGCAAGCCTAGCTGCCCTTCCCCTGAGAAGTTGATTAATTACTATCAAGCAGGGACACCGGATGGTTTCTCACGTGCCAATTCTCTTAATTCTCTTAGTAGCGCCACGACGCAAAGGAACAATGTCACTGGAATCATTTCTAAAGTATCGTCCACAGATTCTTCGGAGAAAGCTGATAATGTGTCAGACAGAGCAGAGCGTAGCGGAATTGCTTCTAATATGAATGGATTACGTATATCGGATGAAACTGATAGTCCCATAGAAGGAAAAAGTAACACTAGAGTCGTAGATAAAGAAGGTTTGTTATGTTATTATATGTTTTAAATAGAGAATGTTATAGAAAATGATGTTTATTATGATTTCAGGCAAGATGGTCACATTTAGTAGACAAGATTATTATGCAGAGCAAACTCCATTGATGTTTTCACGTTGCAGCTCTCTTGGTTCATTGAGTGGGTTTGAACAGCATTCGATACATGATGATCGCAGTTCCGTCATAAGTGATTTTAGGTAATTTATATACTCCCTCTGTTCCATAATAATAGTAGGAGTTGATGAATTTAATTTGTCCCATAATAATAGTAGCAAAAGAAAATAAATATAGAGCGCATTTATTATAAAAAAATTAGATTAAATGAAACAATAAATTAAAAATATTATTTTTAATTTTTATTTTGAGTGTTCAGATAGTTTCTGGATTTTTCAATAATTTCCTTTTGCAGCTAACGTAATTGCACCTTTCTGTAACTTTTAGTTTTTCTTTTGATGCATCAGGAATTGGACAATTTTTTTCATCCTACTTTTATAATGGTTTGATATTCAATTGAAATAAAATAATTGATTTCGATCAGCGGATGAAATTATAATAATAGTTATAATTCGAAATAATGTAGGTTAACCTAAAAATTGAAAGATGTGTCAACACAAATGACAGATGTCATGAAACATTGATTCTGATTGAAAGCTTCGCAATTTTGCGCTACAACATAACTTACAGCTGCATTTGCCAATAATTCCTGTTTAAATATTCGCTTGCTACTATTATTATGGGACAGATAGAGTATTACTTGAAAGAGAAATAATAATTATATGTAAATGAATTTTGTACAGTCGCAGGACTAGTGGTGTTGTGTCTCCAAGCGAATTACCAGATTCACCAACACAAACTGTTCCTCTGAGTCCTCGTGATCATAAGAGTCAGTGTACGGATTTCATAAGCAAAATACCAGAAGAAGCAGTAAGACCGTCGGTTCGACATTTATGTATGCAATGCTATTGATTGTCAGTGAAGAAATAATTCAAACTATCAAGATTGAAATATTATTTGAAAATTGCACGTTTCAATGTACATAGTTTTCTTAACGAATGTCGTTTTCAGCATATTCAAAGTGTCCCGTACCAAGAGGCAGTGTTTTTGAAGATGACATCGCCACCTTTAAAGAAGAGTCAACACCCATTGAATTCTCTACGGCCACTAGCCTCAGTTCTCTCACTATTGATGATGAATTGAAGATTACAAACAGCTCCAAAATAGAGAACGATTTGAAGAAAAACTCGAATGATCTTGAGAAAGATGTTAAAGAAACTTCGTCGGTAGAAAAGACAAATAACGTTGAAACTGAGAAGGATCAAGAGCAAGTCAGCGACGGTGACGAAGATGACGAAGATATGTTGGCTGCATGCATCAGTATGGGTATACAAAATAACAGGTATATTTAATGGCTTATTTTACTGGTCAGTTAATCCCTTTTGGTCAGTATTTAAATATGAAGTGTCAGTATCTTTCCATACTGACCATTCGCTATTTATGTACTAACCTAACCTTTTTTTTTTAACGTGGGGAAATCTTGCATAAGACACCTTGCCCCCCCCCCCTCCCCCCCAGGGGAAGGTGGATTCTTACCAATTAAAACCCAACGGCGGCCTCCTCTGGCGTTGAGGGGAGGCTGCGGGTCCTATACTGGACTCCCCTATTGTCGACACCGAGGACCGCACCGGGTGTCGGCTCCATCTCGGGGGACTGCGTGCAATGACGCCCCGGGCCCCCAGTCCGGGACGCCTGCAGACTCCGCCTCGGTCTTACCTACGGGCTGCGGTGAGGCTGAGCTGTGCCCCCAGCCCGCCTGCACGAGATAGACCGAGGAACTATATCACCGCCGGCTTCCGGTGCCGGCTGCACCGCGGGTCCGCGTGCAATGGCGTCCATCTGATGCCTGAGGCCCGCCCAGTCATCCCCCTGGGGGCTGAGGCGAGCCACGGTTGGCCACCCACCAGGAGGAATATTTGGGCTGCGTTGCACCCCTCAAAGGGGCCAGCGCCTACTCCCTACGTGGGAGGGTCCTACCGTTCCCCGTCCGGAATCACCGGACCCCCCGGGGTGGGCGAGGCCGGGCCCCCGATTCGGAACGGGTTCTCCGCTCGCTCACCACCGAGTCCGATCCGGGTCTGGGCTCTTTCGTCTGGGTGGGAGGGTACACCACGACTCCTCCTACCCCAACAGTCCACCCCCGCGGTCGAGCCTCCCGGAGGCTCGACTTCTTTCCCTGGGGCGTTAGGGCACGCGGGCCCTGTCGCCCGTATACCCCACCCCTATCCGTCGCGTCGGGGAGTGAATAGCGGTCGGCGTCGTCACCCCCCGTCTCCCTTATGGCGGCGGGTCTCACCAGGGTGGGTACTAACCTATCCTAACCTAACCGTTTAGTATTTTTATACTGACCATTTTGGTAATAAAATACTGACCGAAAGTTGATTCATATACTTACCGAAAATGGATTTAAATATTGACCATTTAATTTGTTGCCATATTTAATATCTTCTTGAAATGTTGAGGTGGACTGTCCTCCTCATTCTAAGGCTTTAAATCATGCCAACGAAGACAATTAGAAATATTGAACATTGGTAAATGTATTACAGGTATAGACAGTCTTTCAAAACATCAACTGTACAGAAATCCGTACAACCTGAATCGTCCAACATGCTAGGCCGGTGTCAAAGAGCACCTGCTCTGAACAGATTGGAATCCAGCATTCCTGTCACCTCGGTTGACACTCCGGCAACAGCTGCTAAAACAAATAAAACTGGTATAGAAGTTGTTGCCGCTCCGGACACTGTGCACGTGTATTGCACAGAAGACACCCCAGCGGATATTTCTCCTGTAGGCTCGCAGTCGAACCTTTCAGCATTGTCTATGCCAAGCGTTCAGGAGGACGTTGAGAAAATTGAGGAAGCCAAACCTTCCAGTGAAGTTGAATGCCAGAGAAATGATCTTTCAGACGAGAGCTCCAATCTTTCCGGAGAGGATGAAAAAATACTTCATGAATGTATTCAGTCGGGAATACCAAAGGTACATATACTTCTTTGAGACTTGTTAGCTCCCTGAGGTATTTCTATTAATATTCGAAATTTAGGTTCGTCAGATAACGCCTCCGCTAACGAGCTGCATCCCTTTTGCACAGAAGACAGAAGCTGTGTCACAGAGATTCAACATATGCGGTACACCATCATCTTCTCCCGTAGAAAGTGGTAACAGAAACCCTGCTCTTCGTAAACCTCTCTGCCGTACATCGTTGGAGAATGATAACGAGCTTTCCGATGACAGTCCTAATCATTCGGATGACGAAGCTATCTTGAGCGAGTGCATAAGAGCAGCAATGCCCAAGGTTTCCTTGTTACATTTTCCTCTTAACCCTTAACATACCAAGGGGGGTCCTCGAAAGACCCCAGAGGGTGATTTTTGCTGACTCTGCCGTAACTATATCAACAAATTTATTCTTGATATTTATATGTGTCCCGGATCCGTTTAAGATAAATATTACAAAATTAGTGCTATAATACGTCCGCTCAAAAATATAAAAAGAAATAAAAACACACTTGTGGTTCCGGCAGAGCCCCAGTTGGTACACTACGTTACATATTTGGATTGATTTATTTCTTGTTGAATGCATTGGCATCTATGGCATAATAATGTGGGGATGAGCGCGGGCCCGTCCATTTATGACCAGGCGGTTCCCTCGACTTAGAAATAAAAGGGAGCTGCTGTCTTTAGGCCCACAAAACCGCGGCCCCGCGGCCAGCAATGCTTATTTAACTGAAATATATTTTTAGACATCCAAAGAACCTAATTTGAGTAACTTTCCACACTGAAATGTTGAGAAATTTTAGAAATACCATGGGGTCCTCAGGAGATCCCGCTTGGTAAAGGGTTAAGGATAGTCAACTACCAGAAGCTTAATTTGCACCTGACCGTATTAACATTTATGTTAATTTTAGGTTAGGTTGAACATTTCATCACTGATATCACAGTCATTGCCACAAACTATGGACAAGTCGAAGGTGACGAATTCGGCAAAGGTGTCTTCCTCGACCGCGTCATATCGCCACCCAGAGTATAAAGAAAAGAAGCATCAGCCGAAGAAGCCTGTAACGTTCGAGGATAACCTGAGTCTCTCAGAAGAGGAGGAAGATATTATCTTGGCTCAGTGTATTAAATCAGGCATGCCAAAGGTGAGTATACTTGGTTTTCCTAGACACGTATCAAAGAGAGGTTAATATCAGTGAAATCTCTCTAGTTGTCCGTAAGCTGAGAAGCGAAAATGGACAATGTGGGCAGGATAGACAGGATTAATATTAAGGAAATTATAGTGCTTTATTATAAACTACCAAACTGTAACTCTCATCAAAGAAGCCGCGTCGCGTATTGCGTGACTGACTCGAAAGACAGAACATAGGCGCCGGGTGAGAAATACACAGTAGGGATGTGGGAGTAGCCGATATTACGGGCTCGGGAGGGCTCGGAGAAAATCGGGCGGACTCGGGCGGGTGTATTAACAAGTACTTATTTGAGAGTTGGGTCGCGGCCCGCGGGAGCTCATCCGAAGCAGCCCGACTGTACCCGACCGAACCCGAAATAGTCGGGGCTACCCGACTGCACTCATGTATCGGACGCCCGCCCGAACCCGCCCGATGTTTCCCGAACCGACACATTAGGCGGACCGCACATCCCTAATACATAGGCGACGGACACTATCGGCAGGGCAACAAACGGACAACTAGAAATATTTTACTGTGTACTAATTGATTGTTATCTTCCATAGGCACTGAACGGTTCATTGAACTCGTCTTTAACTCATGGACGACGGGTCGCTGGGACAGCATCGCGCGGAGTGGCGTCTGGCTCATTTTTAACTCCTACCGCGCTCTCCTCTGAACGTGCTCCTATATAGACGGTTTTTCCTATCTATCATTTCTTCTCTTTATTTCAAGGAATATATTGCAAGGGGTAACGGGAACCGTAGTATTCTTTATACGTAGTTCAGCGAGTTCCCTCAGCAAATGCCTAGAGGCAAGTGTCATCTGAAAGGAACGAAGAGCATGGAAGATCGTAATGCAGTAATCAAGGACAATTATTTTGATGTATAGTTGGAATTTATACGTTTGCAGGGCCTAGAAGGAATAAGGAGAATTGTTACATAATTGTTCTACGCGTTAGCTGTTGAAAGACTGAATACTTTTTTATGATAATTGAGTGGAATGGAATGATGGAGATTGTGTGCTTGATAGAGCGAATATAGCGATTGTCTAGAGTCGGTAGTTGAGGGATCAACTTGGATTTTGATATTTTTTTTTTAGATAATAGGATTTTACATTCAACAACAATGAATTTAATTCTTATACCTAATAAGGATATAGCATTTTATACTATTTTATTTGATCCGAAGGTTAAAAAATCTGTGCAATATGTTTATCCATACACGAGCCATTGATGCTTTAGCTTATACTTATTTGAACTATACAGGGTATCTCATAACTCCTGTAACACCCGGAAATGGGGGATTGCTGGGGTGATTCTGAACAACTTTTTCCTTTACCAAAATGTTGGTTGAAGCTTCGTTTTTGAATTATTAACGAAAAAGCACTAGCCAATAGGAGGGCGCGTAGAGCGCGCACCTAACCTCGGGAGCGTTGGCTCTGAAACGCGCTCGGACGTGAACAAACGCAGTGGCATAGCGTGGGTATCGAGAGAATCTTGCGACAAATGTTACAATATCAATCATAGTGTCCATTCGTCTAGTGAAAAAGCACTGATTTTGGAGTACAAGTTTAACCGTAGCAAATATCATAAATCTAATTATTTAATAAAAGCGTTAAATAATTAACATAATCATCTGATAAAACCTTTAGAAAATTCAATAATTTATTTGAAATTACAAAATACACTAGACGAACGGACAGTATGATTGATATTGTACAGTATCAATCATAGTGTCGGTTCGTCTAGTGAAAAAGCACTAAAGGGGAAGGTGCCCCTACCATCTTACGTGAACGAGGAGTCACGCGCGAGCGCGCAGCCATTATGCCTCATTCGCATGTGGTGGAAGGGGCACCTTCCCCCTCAGTGCTTTTTCACTGACATTATGATTGATATTATACATCGTCTTAAATTAAGAACAATGTGGAATTAGTCGCACGTTTCCCTAGATACCCTCGCTGTGCCAATGCGTTTGTTCACGACCGAGCGCGGTTCAGAGCCAACGCTCTCGTGCTTGAGCGTGCGCTCTGATTGGCCAGAGTTTTTCGTTACTAATTCAAAAACGAAGCTTCAACCAACATTTTGGTAAAGGAAAAAGTTGTTCAGAATCACCCCCGCAATCGCCCATTTCCAGCTGTTAAGGGAGTTATGAGACACCCTGTAGATATCTTCGTTTAGTTCTGTAGTATAAGCGTGAGGAATAATGTGCCTTAACCTCTTTGTCATTGCGTTAATATTATGATGAAGAACCCTAATCGAATACTCCTATTATATAATATTTGCTCCATCATATCTTTGCTAAATTCATTTCTTGTTATTAGAAAACTATACTGCGGACTGTTTAAACATATTGTATAGCGAGGAGCTAGGTAATCCGGAATTCAAAAGTAGATATATACACTACTTTCTGAAATATTTGAAGAAAACTGTTATCTTGTTTCTTCTAGTTTTTTATATGCGACATTTTTTTAGGGTTAGCACCGAAAGGGTTACCCTGTTTCTTTAGAGAATAGTAGTGATGGCTAGAACTGCTACTTGTGAATCACGAGTGATTCGATCACGTTCGTTCCTAATCACGATCATTTTTCACAGTGATTCGTGATTTTTCATGCTCTCTTCTGATTGGTCGAAAGTAAAAACCGTAATTAACTGGTAACTTTTGACTAGCCAAAACTTATGACTAACTGAACGTTCTTTGCACATTATGCTCGGATATTTCTACAGGGTGTCCAACGACTACGCCAACAAAATGTTGTTTGAAGCTTCGTTTTTGAATTATTAAGGAAAAACACTGGCCAATCCGAGCGCGCGGGCTCAGGGACGGCAGCGTCACGGGCTTCGCCTAGGTACCGAACGAACCCTCTGATTGGCCAGTGTTTTTTGTTAATAACTCGAAGCCTTAATCAACATTTTGGCAAAGGAAAAAGTTGTTTAGAATCACCTTGTCAATCATCCCTCTTCGGTTGTTGACCTAGTCGTTGGACACCCTGTATACAAGCTATATTGAAGCATTTTATAAAAAAATAGTTGAGTCAAGATTAAGAATTACGAAGAGCAATTATCCAACGATCGTGATTTAACTCCATTCTACGATCACTGTGATAAATCACCGTTAGTGATTTTGCATGCCATCTCTAGGGAATAAACTGTTGAACTTGTAGAACATTGCGTTGTGAGATTTGAACTTTACCCGATAGAAACTGCATTTCCTTTGCGTGCAATATATCTTGCCGAAGCATCATTGCGACTGATTTCTTTGAATCATGTGATCAATTGTATGTGTATACATTTACATTTTATTTTTCCTAATGAATTCATAAATACTTTTCACCGCTGCTTGTGATATTGTGTTTTACAGAAGCAGAAGGAAATATTATTAGGTGTAGAAATTAATTCGGTGCCTTTTCTTTTTTTAATTAATGGCCTATTTTCAAGAAGTTATAGTAACTACAATTATTGAATTTATTCTTATCGATATCATATTCTCGCGCCATTTTTCAAATTCACAAAAGCGCGGGAAAAGTATTCGAATTTAAAATAGTAACTAAGAAAGTGTAATATTAAAGGTGTCGAATTAATCTGTACACCTAATATATAGACAGAGATTTTCTTGTTTCACTCTGCTTAGGCGCTTTTCTATATTACAATTGTTAAGGTATTATTACAACATCAGTAATTAATAAAGTTTGAAACTTTTGATTTATTGTAAATCGTTTTCTTTATAGGTTTACCGAGAGCCAGAAAATTGATCCCCTACTTCGTTATATGTACGTCTGTGAGTGTGTTTGATAATTTATGCTATTGCACACTATCATTTATTGTACAGTATATAAGTTGGCGAATAGCAATTTTTGCATTGAAATATCAATTTCCGCACAGGTATAGCATTTGAAAAAAGAATTACAGCTATTCGTGTAACATCTGTTGTGAAGAAATAGATTCTACATTAATATAAATGAATTTATTGAGCTAAATATATTTTACAGTTTTCTTTACAATTGAACAATTAATCTCTCTTTTAATTCTTTGCACGTAATAATAATAATTAAAAAAACAAAAAAATTTACAATTTTATATACCTCTTTGAACACTAATTAAAACAGTATTAATAGAATAATAAATAGTATACTTGAAGAACAAGATGGAGTAGCCCACAGCAGAAGATATTTCATCATTGAAATATTCTCCTAACGAGTTGAATGAAATTCGAACCTGTCAGTGGAAAAAATAATCGATGAGCCCAGTACTGTCATGCAACCTTGGCTAGTTCGTTGATGATTACAGACCAGATTTGCTGGAGCATAAAAAGGCGCCGCCTTTTGACCGCTACCATGTTGCCCTTCGATGAGTCGTAATCACTACCTGGCGACTCTTCTAGCCTATTTCCTGTGTTTATAAAATCTTCAAATACCCACCGTTGCCTGTTTACTGTAGTACGACCGGCTTGGAGAACACATCTCCGGTGGTGCGCCTCATGTTCCGAGGTAAAGGAAGATTTGTGTTTATATCTGACTGAAACTAGACAAATTCTATTCATTGTGAGACAAAGAGAACCATTGGTAGAGTATACCTGGAACAGTTTTAATTTCAAGGACCAACTTTGCCTGATTTATTCTTAGTTCTTCTCTGAATTCAATGTAAAGTGCTGGTAAATTAATTAGTTATCCATCGAAGTGAAATTACATCAAAGAATATCATCGGTTTAATAATAAAATGGGTTTAATTGTATTTCTGGGCTGTTCGATGCACTTTCCAACTGTCAAGTCCTCTTTAAGTATCAACTAACAGAATAATTAATACAGTTATTGAGAAAAGATAGAAGGTAATGATAGGTGCAAAAAGAACAGACGAGACAGGTAGAAATAATAATTAATGCTTCAGACGTTAGCGAGCATTGAGGGTACAGGGTAGGGATGTGCGGCCCGACTAGTCGGGTCGGTTCGGAAAACATCGGGCGGACTCGGGTGGGCGTCCGAAACATGCGTGCAGTCGGGTGGCCCAACTATTTCGGGTTTGGTCGGGTACAGTCGGGCTGCTTCGGACGAGCTCTCGCGTGCCGCGACCCAACTCTCAAGTAAATACTTGGTAATACACTCGCCCGAGTCCGCCCGAATTTTTCCGAGCCCACCCGAGCCCGTAATTTCAGGTACCCGCACATCCCTAGTACATGGTAATTCTCTCGCTAGTGGACCCAAAGGAAGTGCCGCAACAATGGAATGAAGAAGTCGACATCCCATTTGTATCATCGCTTACTTGGCGGAGGTGGCCCCTGCAGCGGAGACGGCTGTGTGGGTGAAAATATTCTGTTCTGCTCATTACACACATTTTCACGCACACAGCCGTCTGTGCTGTAGGGGCCACCTCCGTGTGCGGGGGTCCCGGTGTGTTCTTCAGAGGTCCCGGGACCCTCCTTATAGCCCCAGTGCTGGCCACCATGGGGATTTTAGCGAGTAAAAATCCCGCACTACCTCCAGCTCCACCCCAGGGGGGTTGGAGGTGCCTTTGGAAGATTTCCCCCACGTAAAAAAGAAATAAGGGGCCACCTCCGTCAAGTAAGCGATGCCGACTTCTTCATTCTATTGTTGCCGCACTTCCTTTTGGGTCCACTAGCGAGAGGATCACCCTGTATGAATGTTGTTCTGTGCAGATGCACCCTCGTGCATTCTATACGCTTGCACTCATGCTTCTCGTGGCTGGTGACGTTGGATGCGACGACAAAACGAAATGGTACGTTGGCCTGCAGTCTGTGTTCAAGAATTGTCCGCTGGAGTCTTGGAGGAACGCGGGTCAGGACGAATTTATGGAGAAGCTGAAGAGGTGCATACAGGAACACGTGTTGGCTGTTCTGGATTCCATCCTCGTGAACGATGTTATACCAGTTTTCGACGGCCTCTACCTAGTGCGATTCCAACAGGATAGAACGAATTCCACGGATAACTATACCAATAGGTAACTCGCCCTCCAACAGCAATCTGCTTTGTAACTAATTTCATCAGAGAACAGCCTCACTTAAAACGTTTAACATTCTTTTATTAAGAAGTTGTTCAAGTTTTCGTACAGGGCGTTCAACAACAGGCGGGTGATTTTTTAAGGGGTGATTCTAGGGATCAAAATAAGACGAAAATCAAGAATGACGAAATAGCGTTTGCGGCTTTGTTTTCCAGTAATTAACATTTAAATATTCGAGTAAAAAGCGCCTGAAACCTGCAACCTGCCCAGCACCGACGACTGAACGTCAGGTCAGCAGGGGTCGGTACAGTTATAACCAAGAAGAGAAAGCCGAATGCTGCAGTACTGAGAAACCTTTGACTATATACCTTATACATTGCTTCAATGGGTATATAGTCAAAGCGAGAAATAGAATAGCACGAGGTAAGTTTCTATTATTCAATGATTCTTGGTTATGACTGTATCTACCCCTGCTGACCTGACGTTCGTCGGTGCTGGGCAGGTTGCAGTTTTTAGGCGCTTTTGACTCGAATTTGGAAAACAAAGTCACAAACGTTATTTCGCCATTAATTTTCGTCTTATTTTGATCCCTAGAATCACCCCTCAAAAAATCTCCCACCTGTCGTCGAACGCCCTGCATATCATGAAAGTAATTGTTCGCTGTTTTCTCAGTGAATTAGAGGACGATACAAACTGGACAGCGATGATCTTGAAACGGCTAATAGGCGTTCTACGTACACACGTTTTCAAGGTCGACGTGGACCACCTAGTCGACAGCACCCTTTCACCTGTTAACAATTCCGAGACAGAATTAAATGGAAACATATTTGAAGGTTGGACTGCAAATGACAATATGTATTTTAGTTTTAGTATAATATTGATTTTCGCTTTCATCCTTGCAATTATATCTGTTGAAACTTTCCTTCCCTTGACAATTGTATGCTTTTATGAAACTTCCAGTTTCAAAGTTACTTGGTAGGTTGAAACATTTTAACGGTTTCCATTCTGAAGACATTAAACTAGTCTTCTGTTAATATTGTGATATCAGCATGCAGAAGTGGTGTTTTTATCAGGTCGAAGACGTCGATTTCGTCGCAAATACAACAACGTATTGCCGTTCATGATGATGGGCTTCCTGTTGATGGGTTCCATCCTCGTGCCCATGGGTTTCCAGTTTCTCGCCGTTCTGGGTGGCAAAGCGTTATTGCTAGCGAAGATGGCTCTAATACTGTCCAGCATACAGGGGCTGAAGAAAATTGCGACGAACGGTGTGAATTATGGACTGTATCACACCCAGGTGGATGGCTGGCACGACAGAAGCCATATAGAGACACCCTCGCATCTAGATTTACCTTTCCAACCTCATATTCGTCCTTAAACCTCAGGAATATTCCTATTAAACCATTTTCTTTGCCGAGGGAGGTGGCTCAAACTTAATGCTTAGCGTTAATGCGCTGATATATGAATAAAATGTTTGCAAATTGTGCTTGTTGTTAGAGTATGAAGACTGCTAAATGTTACTTTCAAAGCGTTCACACTGTAAATAAATGAGAAAATCCGTGTTGGGATGCGAGATAACTGTAAAGGGCTCTCTGTGGTGCGTTAAATGGTACCCGTTATCGTTAACACTATGTAGGATTCTAAAACAGACTTGGAAACTTTTTCTTCAACTAGCCCCTTGTAGTATGCTTCCCTACAGACACCAAGAATCCTTTCGGACAGTCGGCGACGCACGGTACATGTACTTAGAAAATTTCTAAATTTCTAATAATGTCAATTTAAAGAATCTGAAGAACATTAACGCCAATGTAAACGAGGGAAATTAAGAAACGTTTTAACATTATTATGCTTCCCTACAGACACCAAGAATCCTTCCGGAGAGTCGGCGACGCACGGTACATGTACTTAGAAAATATCTATATTTTTAATAAGGTTAATTTAAAGAAGCTGAAGAACATTAATACCAATGTAAACGAGGGAAATTGAGAAACGTTTTAACATTATGTAGAATTGTAAGACAGACTTGGAAACTTTTTCTTCAACTAGCCCCTTGTAGTATGCTTCCCTACAGACACCAAGAAACCTTCCAGAGAGTCCGCGACGCACGGTACATGTACTTAGAAAATTTCTAAATTTCTAATAATGTCAATTTGAAGAATATGAACAACATTAACGCCAATGTAAAGGAGGGAAATTAAGAAACGTTTTAACATTATGTAGAATAGTAAGACAGACTTGGAAACTTTTTCTTCAACTAGCCCCTTGTAGTATGCTTCCTTACAGACACCAAGAATTTAGAAAATTTTTAAATTTCTAGTAATAAAGTCACGTTGATATCCCTATAACAATTGTTTTCTGGTGAAACGACACAAGTAATTGTGGTGTCGTTTAAAGAACTTGAAGAACATTAACGCCAATGTAAACAAGAGAAATTAAGAAACGTTTTACTTGAACAAACAATCGACGACAAAGCGATGGTAAGAGAGCAACTGTGAGTGAAATATCACGGCAAATCTCACGGACGTGATTTAATCAAATTCAGAGGCATCACAGTGAATAATTCAGTTCTTTTCGTTTCGAACGCATCAACTTCTATTCTTGTTTAACGATGAATACACTTTGTATAATCGATAACCTTCGTAAATACGACATCCTCTCATCGCTGTATTCTTATTCATGTTCAATTAAAATATTTATTGCTCTTTCTTCTTCAAGTGTTTCGACCTTCCCACCTTTCTTTCTTAATCCTAAGACCTTCGGATCTTTCTTCTCCCATTTCTTTTTTTTACATAGTACACAGTGGCGTTTCAGCTTCAAAAAATAAAGAAGAGGTATCTGAAAATAAAATATGAGAACAGAAAAGATTTTTCTTGCTATAATATACAGTGGAATAACTTTAAAGCAAAATAAAACTGTAAAGTTTGGAGAACAAGGAACTGCTAGAATCAATTAAAAAATTACAAAAAATCATGGATACCTTTTAATTTATATTTAGATTGCTTTCTAAATTTTTCTTTACGTTTCGTACGTCTGTATCACCATTGACCCAGAATAGATTGGAATTCAGATAGAAAAGTCTGAAAATGATACCAGAATCAAGAATCTATGTTATCCTAATGAGACAGGGCCGGCGTAACTTTTTGCGGGGCCCGGTTCAAAAATTTTGTGGAGCCACAATACACATTCAAATCCTATACTTAAATTTCACAATAAGGAATTATTTATTATAAGTTACATATATTTTTTGTAAAATAAATATTACATAATTTTTCTCGCTTTTTTCGCCGCAAAATCTTTGATTGCGTCATCGAAATTGATTGATTGATTGACTTATTGATGACTGAAGATAATTTTTTATTAGTTTCAACCGCGGGGCCTTTCAAAACGCGAAGCCGGGTTCCGGGGGACTCGCTGAACCTGCCTCGCGCCGGCCCTGTAATGAGATTAGGGGTAAAAGTAATTGGTGCTAAGATAAAATGTTTCCTCCAAAAGTGTGTATAGTACAATCCGCGGTCCTTGGTACAGTTTATAGCCATTATTTGTGCGGATAAACATCATGGTCAGAGGACTTAATTGATCCTGGTCACGAGGCTCGATTCCAAGGGGATGAAACGTAAACGTTTATGTTGCCCATTTCACTTATGGCGGCAGTATTTGAATATCATTCGGATTAAGAAAACCACGATAAAATTGGTGTACAGTAGTTCACCCATAATAAAATTATCACCTTATCCCATTAACTGCCAAATGTTTTTTTTTTTGAAATTTTTGGCTGGATAAGTGTACGTAAAAAAAAAAAATCGAGTATCCCCCTCCTTTTCGTAGTCGGATAAAAAATCCCCAAATGGGGAATAATCTACACTAGTGGAATTAATTTTGGACACTTTTAAATTTTTACTTAAATTTCGCATTTATTCAAATTATTTAATATTTTATATTCTAATCATTTTTTAATTTTAGAGCGTCGTTTATATAAAAAAAATCAGTAAAAAGACCATTTACAGCCATACTTATAATATACAATAAAAATTACAATTTCAATGCATCAAAGGAGGTAGAAAAAAATTAATTTCTCAGTTTAGATTTTTTTTAATTAAAATTTTCAAACATTTACAAACCAAATCGTGCGAAAATATTAAGTATAAACATTATAGATTATAATAAAAATATTACAGTATTAATTTAGCATAGCAGAATATACGTTTTCTGCAGAAATATGAAATAAAGAATATTTTCATTCAAAGTGTCCAGAATGAATTCCACTGTTGAATTTCATTTTCTCGTATTCTATCATTTACAAAGTGATTATATATACGTCTAGCAGTGTCGCTATTTCTGAACAAGATTGTTCATTGTTCTCCCTATTGGCTCATCTCTGAGGCCGTTGTTCTGCACCTGCAGGAGGTAAATTTCTATTGCACCTCGTTTGTTATCATTTTAGAAGATAAAAGAGGCGATGAGTTAACGGTAGCTGTAAATGCTGCAAATAATAATTTACAATCGGTACTTTATCAATAAAATTCATCATATGGTTTTGGTACAAAATAATACCTCCTTATTTAATTCTACGCTCATAAGATGATGACCTATATAGCTGATTTCGTGTTTCTGCCAAGTGTCGTAGTTTGCATATATTAAAAAATAAATTGTACTGATTCCGTGGCCTCTTCAAGACGAACACAATGAACACCAAGCACGAGTCTTGACTCGTCCCTTCCGCTCGTTTTGTTTCACAGCCAGAACGTATACCTCTGCCTTGTTATCAGTTTTGCTGTGGCGAAACGTTTCGAGTGCACTCGCAGGCTCGCTTTCTGCAAGATAAAAATCATTAATTTCACTTGGTGATTTATAGAAGGGAGAAGAGGAACCTCCCCTTGTACCAAAAGGTAAATGAGAAACTAGATGTTAAATATATTCTTCCTTACTGTACCTTGTTGCATAGTGCCTTTTTTCTTTTAATACAGTATACCAGGTCCCTGGGGTCATTATATTCTCCAGGTAACTTTTCCTTTGATTTACATACTAGCAAGTTTGTTTTTCAATCTTTTATAATGTTCCCCCTCAGCTAATGACATGCAGAATCCTAATGCACCAACTTTCTTCTCTATTTATGACATCTTAGTTGAATAAAATGGTATAAAGAATTTCTTCTCTGGTTAAATGATTATTAAAGTGCATCAACCCATAGAGATGAGGTTTTCTTTTAATTCTACTTAAATTCCTATATGGGGCTTAAGGGGTTAGGCCACTCTAGAATTATTGAAAAAATTGAAATTTTTTTTTCCTTAAAATGTGCCTTAATGTCTTAAAAATGATATGGCAAAAGATTATGGGTGGGAAAAAACTCTAAGTACTCGAATTCCGAATTCTGCCGCAGCCCCTTCCGGTATGCAACAAGCATTACTGAAAACCTGAAACGCATTTTTCAAACTGGCCGGACTCATAAATCAAACAGATCATCACCAATCGGTTTGAAAATTTAACAGTATATTCGAAACTAAATTCTCTACCGAATTGCGTAGGATTTTTTCATTATATTGCATAGTTCTTTTGTTATAAACAATTTTCTGGCGATTTCTTCTTGAAATTTTACCATTTTTGCAAAAATCAATATATCAAAAAAATCCTACGTAGTTCGATAGCTGTTCTCATGTATAATCGAAAATATTTTGGTTTTTTATCCTAAGTTAAAAATTCCAGGAGCTGGTTAGCCCTACAAAAAATAGGCATCATCTAAGAAATACTACAGAGCCCATATTTTCATTTGAATCACTATACAAAAATTAATTTTTAGAGTTTATTAGTTTATTAGGAATTGGGATTTATTCCATTATTAAAAAAAAAAATTCCCAAAATATGCCTATTTCTTCTTGCTCTATAGTGACCTAACCCCTTAATTCTACTTAAATCCCCAAATGAAACTTATAGTAGAAAATGAGTTAGGTTATTTTACCAGTGAAATGGCTGTTTAAACACTGGAATATTCTACAGTACAACAAATTATTTCTTGCTCTATAGTGACCTAACCCCTTAACTCTACTTAAATCCCCAAATGAAACCTACAGTAGAAAATGAGTTAGGTTATTTTACCAGTGAAATGGCTGTTTAAACACTGGTATATTCTACTGTACAACAAATTATTTCTTGCTCTATAGTGCCCTAACCCCTTAACTCTACTTAAATCCCCAAATGAAACTTACAGTAGAAAATGAGTTAAGTAATTTGAACAGTGAAATGGCTGTTCTACTGTACAACAAATTATTCTGTCATCAGCAATTTATTCAGCTCTTCGCCCTATGTCTCCTATAAAGTACTCTCTATTATCTATTCAATTAATCAGTTGAGGATGTATCATCTGCTTATTGACTTTGAACAAATTGTCATAGAGCAGGTCGTCACACCTGGTCCTCGGCGAGGAGCCGCGTGTAGAAATTCTCTGTTGAAAAGTTATCACCGTTATCGTCGTCGGTGTAACACAGCAAGTGCTTGGGGATGCGCAGCGTGGACGAATCGCGAGCTGGACTAGCGGCTATAAGAGGGACGCCGCGCGTCGCGACGCCACACAATCTCCGGTTGGTCCTGAAGCGACACTCGACACTCGCGCATAAGCAGATTCGGTGCTGAAGGAAAGGACGAATATCCAGCTACTCCGCTTCTACCAAGTGGGTCCAGGAACTTCCGGTTCCCGTTTCAAGAAACCATGTCCTTGGTCGGGTCTGATCGTCGCTTGACGAGGTTGTTACTCGTCGTCGTCGGCATTTCGAACGTTGTTTCTGCCGTGATCAAGGGGAACACTGATTATCAGCAGTATCAGCAACAGGTAAGATCCTCTAACATTTCTCAGACACCTGGAAAACAAGTTTGAATTAGTGTCTGCTTTCTTAGAGATAAATTTGTTGCAATATGTAAACAATTTGTTTTTGTACGTTTAATCAACTGGTTTGAAGACTGGTTAGAGTAAGGGATTAATCACTGAATAATGAACAGATCCTAATGACATAAAGAATTAGAAGTATTAGAATTAAAATTAGAAAAATTAGAATTAAAATTAGAAGAATTAGAAGAATTAGAATTAGAAGAATTTAGAATTTAGAAATGAGATAATGAATTGTACGTTTTATAATAATATTTGTGATCAATGCTATTCTTTTAGTATACACTTTAATTGGAACTCCAGATAATGTAATTTTTTCTTCTGTATGTTTTTTGATATGATTATAGTTGCCGGATCTAATAATCAGGCGATCCCAATTTGATTCTGCGTGACACGCACGGTTTCCTGAAAAGAATACCAATAACGAAGTTCTGATCGATCATTACTCGGACGATGCTTACATTTCCCTCCCTTTGTCATGGCAATTAGTTGCTCGAGTACTTCAAAGTAAACAGCACACGTTAGGCTTCGTATACATCCCTTCCCCTGCCTCGACGAATCCTTGAATGCAGATTTCCTATATTACCTTTCAAAAAGATTCATTGAGATGAAAGATAAAATTTCGTTTCATTGGAATTAAAAATTTCTTCAGAGAGGACAAGTAAATTTTGTAAATCAATATTTAATATTTTCAGCGAGAAATATGTGATTGTAATCCTAATTCTAAATTTTCCCTTTTTTGGGAATGTGGGATGCGTTTCGCGTCCCATTGTCTTTCTAGGGTGGCGCAATCTAGGGACATTATGTAATTTTAATTCTTCTATTTTTCTGTTCCTTCTTGAATTTGAGATGAAAGATAAAATTTCGTTTCATTGGAATTCAGTATTTTTTCAGAGAAGACATAAGTAAATTTTGTAAATCAGTATTTAATATTTTCAGCGAGAAGTATATGTAATTTTAATCCTAATCCTAGATTTTCTCTTTTTTGACAATATGGGATGCGTTTCGCGTCTCATTGTCTTTCTAGGGTGGCGTAATCTAGGGACATTATGTAATTTTAATTCTTCTATTTTTCTGTTCCCTCTTGAATGACTCGAAGAAAGTGTATATTAGATTACAGTTTCTAGAACCACCCTGACTATAACTCAATTTTTTCAACAAAGTTCTCCAGAAAGTTGATCCTACAAATATAGGGAGTCTCTAACATTTTCAGTTTTATATCATCCATAAACCAGCCTGAAATAGTAAGAAGTGAGATAAGAGTTCCATTAAAAAGATAAACATTTTTATGAGATTTTCATTAAGAATTTCCATAAAATTTATGCTAAAGATTCTTCTATAATCGCATTGATTACTCCAGTCGAGTTTCTTGACGAAGAAAAATTCCCTGTATCTCGAAACTTGCCGGTTGACCTTCCACCAAGGTCATCTATTTCATTTTGTTCGAAACGAAGGGAGCGGTAATCTTATTACCGAAAACATATATATATGTTTTCGTGTTCATAGAAATACAAGCTTCGGTTTGATGAAATTCTATGTTACAGAGGATTGAATGGCATACAATAATTCTGTATAGAAATCCCTTTCGTAATCCAAACTGAACTGAGTGGATTGTGACGCGCGTTTCGTTTCCGTGTTGCCCTCCGAGTTTAAAAAAAAAAAAAAAAAAATTGATAAGGGAATTTGTAAAACCACGTATCTGAATATTTTGCGATTACAAAGACCGGCGAAGCATTATTATATTCCTTCAAACAAACGTAGAATTACGTATTTCAGTGATTGCATCTTTCGATAAGATATCCACTGTTTTCAGCGGCTCTTTAGACCAGAGGCTCTTTAGATCAGACCAGACGTTTCGCAAACCCGGAAATTTTAACGGAACACTTATCGTTAGCTCAATTTTTAGGTTGGGTAATTCCTACTAGTAAAAATTAAAAAAAAATGTTACTAAAACACATTATTTATTTAGTAATTATTTTTAAATACAAAACTTTCCAAATTATCGCGAAACACCTATTTAGGTTAGGTTTAGGAACATAGTTTGGGAAACCCTGCTTTGTAATTGTCAAATGTTTTGTGTTGATACGTGTTGTACGAGTGTTTTACATTTTAAGTAATATTCTTCCTGTGTAGTTGTTTATTGTTTATTCACAGTGTATCTGTTAATACAATTTGTGTTATATGAAGATTTGATCAACTTTGAGATTTTTATACCATATAAACTGAATAATGGATGCTTTTACCTATATTGAATATTAATCTATCTAAAATTTGTTGGATCAATAAAAATATTATTATGCCAAGTACTTCTTTTGTTCCTAATACATATATGATTTACTCTGATAAATCAGATTATTCTTGAAGCATTCTTGAATATACATTTTTTATAAATCTTCAACTTTATAATATTATTAATAATTTTGTTACGCGGCTGCGTGCAAGCATATTATCTTCTACGATGAACATTCGTAACTCGAAAACGGATGCTCGGCAATCTTCATGCGTTTTCAAGCCTTATCGAGAACGCCGTTAGGTTTGGCGACCTGCAAAGTGAAATTACTTGTTGTCAGTGTAAACGGAATTTATGCGCTCGGGTAACACGCGAAAAATCGAGTGGCAACGTACTTGGAAGTTATAACTAGCAGATCAAGGTAACAAAGTTATAAAGTGCTTCAACTTCTGCGCTATCGCGTTTTGAATATCGCGCCATTCCGCATGCAGGATTTTTCTGGATAACCGTCCTGCGATAAATATAGAAAAATAAATATATTACATTTAACTTATGGTGGGTGGTATCGAGTAAAAAAAGAATTATAACTGTCAATTTAATTTTATGCATTTTTGTAATAATATTACCATAATATTACTATAATGCAAACTTCATTCAGTAGTATTGAATTTACTTCGGTAACGTTATAATATCTGGAATATTTTTTTATCATTTCAATATTTCAGATTGCATCTTTTAATTTCCCTTCCATCTTACTGTCAATTGATTATTTTGATATTCGAATCAGTATTATTTAATTTATATCCTCTGAAACAAAAAGTAACTCGTTTTGAAACAACCGTCACAAGGTGAATCCGTGTCATCGCAAATATTTACAACGGCTGTTCCATTGTTTGCACATCGATTATATATTCTTAGTCTATCGTAAATCGCCGCCAATGTGTCTGGTTAACGCGTAATTTGAAATTTAAAAATTGATTTCGATACATCGCTCTTCGATACATTATCGCTTACAATTTCAAATTCGAAATTTCGAACATACAGTTTGATTGAGGTTTCATTAGAGAATATTAATGAAATTTTACTGTTTGATCAAGAAGGAATTAATTTGCAAGCTCAGTTACCGTTATATAATACAATTGTTACAATGGCAAATATTTTGTACAAATATAACCTCAAAGTTGAAACACGCGACGAGAATTGAACTCGTGGGCGTGCTGTTCATTTTAATATAACGTTTATGAAACATCCGTATTATGTGAAGAAGAAATATTACTAGCAATAATACTTACTAGAAATGATCGAATATTAAATAAACTTCGTTATTCGACAGTTTTCAATTATATTAAATTATTTAAAGTAACTTTTCCTTAAAAAGTCTAGTCAATTTAGAGTCTAATATATTTTAAATATATTCATGAACCGGAAGTAATGAATTATTTTCCCGTAAATGGCGGAACTTTACAAATTTAAACTGTGCGATGGGTCGGTAAATAAAGTTTTATCTTTGTTCAAAGTATTTAACTATGAATTTAAAGTTATCGAACATTTGAAACGAAAAGGAAATTGATATGTAGTCTATTCTAAAGGATCATACGATCAAGTATTATACAAAAGGTTTATTGTATCTTTAGGAATATTGTGAGGTTATTTATAACCTTTAAATAATCTTTGGTCAGGACAACGTGAGTCATTGATATAATTTTTTTTATCACAACAGGTAACTTAATTGCATTTTCTTCCCTTTATCAATGACTTTTGTAATATTTTTATTTTTGATATTTGAGCTTATCAGTTTGCAATACATTATGCTGATTTTATTTATGAAGAGATGCACTGACAATATTATCGACGATCGCAACGGCAACGGCAACGAATCGACGTTGCAAAGAAAATTTATGAGACATTTTTCATGCTCGACAAATTCGATTCGTTCGTATATCAAGGATACACATTGTAAATAGATTTCGTAGAGAGTGTGATTATAATAATCATACCCTCCGGGAAAATATTCTCCAATATTTATGTATGAAATTGACAGGGCCGACCCTGAGATTTCGGGGATCCGTGACGAGCTCCGAAAAAGAGCCCCTTCACGTATATGACATAAAAAAAGGATCTCAAATAAAATTTATAAAATTAACATTAAAGCTTGTACAACTAATTTAGATTTCCATTTACATCGATTAATATTTAAGTAAACTCTTCTTGCATTCTCAGACGCAAAATCGTCTTATGTAGGCCCTGGTCCTAGGGGGCCCTAGGCGGCCGCCTAGTTTGCCTAGGCCCAGGGCCGACCCTGGAAATTGAATCAAATCTCACTAGAATAACAAATCTTCATAGAAATAGTACCAAACAATCGTGATAGGTTATAGCAAAAAGATTGTATATTTTTAAATATATTTATTGTTCATAATTCAAACGATTAATGTTTAAATATTTATTATCATAGATTAAGCTCTGAAGTTCTGTACAGTTCATATTAAATCCCTGATACACGTGCGTACATGGAATGGACAAGGATAGCGTTAACGCGTAACATTTGCTGCTTCTGAACAGATTATGTAACAATTGATCACGTTTCAGTTTATAACAAGTTTCACTATTTTCAATAAAGTAAACCATAGAGCATCTATTTTTGGAAGTATTTCATCTTATTTGCTTTCTGATACCATTGAAATTACCTATCTTTAATACCGTTATAATTAGGTGGTTTATCGTTGATATACAATTTAATACCGAAGAGAATGCAGGAGAAAGGGATTGAGAATATAAAAGGCTTGTTGAAAGGCCGGGAGTTTCTTCATTGGCCACCTGCGAAGCAATTCGTTGAATTTCATTCCTCTGTAAGACGGAAATGTAATCGTAAAACAGTGCCTCGGGGAATATAATTCCTTTCATCCGTTAATATTTCCGTTAGCTGAGACTTCATTTCTTGCAATTCATCGGAGATCGACAAATTGTCACCGGGAAAAGTAATTTCATATTTTCTTTCTGTGTACCTTGAAAGGTGTTTTCCTTTCCCTGAAAGGGACATTATTCAGACTTTTACTTCTTGATCTTATCAATATGTATGGGATTAAAGATTAAGAAATTTTTATCAATCTTTTTAATTAGTATAATGTTGCAGTTCGTGATTACAATATTTTCTGTGTTCTACATTAATGGAATTAATTCTGGACACTTTTAAATTTTTACTTAAATTTCGCATTTATTCAAATTATTTAATATACAATTATTTATATTTTATATTCTGAACATTGTTTTCTAATTTAAGGCGTTGCTTATATAAAAAAGTCAGCCATACTTTTAATATACAATAAAAATTACAATTTCAACGGATCAAAGGAGGTAGAAAGAAATTAATAGTTCGTTGGATATCCTTTCATCCTGTGATTGGCTATTTCACATCGTGCGTCGTTTCGTGTTGCCAGGCGCGAAAACAAAAATAACAACAGTTTAGATTTTTTTAAATTAAAATTTTAAAACATTCATAAACCAAATCATGTGAAAATATTAAGTATAAACATTATAGATTACAATACAAATATTACGGTATCAATTTAGCATAGCAGAATACATATACATTTTCTGCACAAATATGAAATAAAGAATATTTTTATTCAGTGTCCAGAATTAATTCCACCAGTGTATATTCTTTTCTATACTCTATATTCTTTTCTATATTTTGTAGTCTATATTCTATATTTTCTATTTTCTATTTTCTGTATTCAGCAGGATTGCAAACAGATAGTAATTATGTCCACCAGTGACGATCGTAATATCCGTATGTCGATCAAGATGTTTCCATTGAATATCACACGATAGAATAGACATTTCCCTCGAATCATGTATTCATCGAACACGAATGGTTTTTGTTTTATAATAACATACATATGTATGTGGAGGATCGTTTCAGGGAAGCGATTAGCATGTTAAAAATATCTTAACTTCACCGTATTTAATCAACCATTAAATATAGATGCTAAATTTATTCATACGAAGTAAATGGAAGAGGATGAAAGTTGAAGAGAACATTGTGATAGATCATTGTAATATAAAAGGAACCGAATGGATCTTAAATCACATTGTTCTTTCATTCCGTGGACGAACAAAAATGATAGCCCCCATTCTTCTTCACGCGTCGCGCGTCGAATCAAATTAACTTCAGGGGATATTGAATTCTGCTTTAGTTTTTTATACACAGATATAATAGATAAATTGATCGAGAGATGAAAAGGTTAATAAGCAGGGCCGACCCTGGGCCTAGGCAGACTAGGCTGCCGTCTAGGGCTCCTCAAGGTCTAGGGACCCCATAAGACGATTTTGTTATATATGTGAAGGGGCCCTTTTTCGAAGCTCGTCTGGGACCCCTGAAATCTCAGGGCCGGCCCTGTTGAAAGGCCATATTGCAATTATTCTAAATCTAAAATTGCGATTATTAATGATGTTTTGAAAGGTCATATTGCAATTATTCTAAATCTAAAATTGCAATTATTAATAATGCTTTGAAAGACCATATTACAATTATTCTAAATTTAAAATTGCAATTATTAATGATGCTTTTCATACACAGATATAACAGATAAATTGATCTACAGATGAAAAGGTTGATAAGCAGGGCCGACCCTGGGCCTAGGTATGTACACTAGGCGGCTGTTTAGGGCCCCGCAAGGTCAAGGGACCCCATAAGACTGCAAGAATGCAAGAAGAGTTTACTTGAATATTAATCGATATAAAAGCAAATCTAAATTAGTTGTACAAGCTTTAATGTTAATTTTATAAATTTTATTTGAGCTACCTTTTTTTTATGTCATATACATATGTGAAGGGGCCCTTTTTCGGAGCTCGCCTCGGACCCCCGAAATCTCAGGGGCGCCCCTGTTGACAAGTTTGTTTAAAAAATGATATTCCATTTTTAAAAGTATCTTAAACTGATTAGATTTTCTTTTGTTTGTGTAGTTTCCTGGAGAACGTTTCTCAAAGGATTTTTATCGCACGGATTTCAAGAATGGCTTGTTTAATACTTACAGACGTTTTAAACCAGTCACAGGTATAATATATTAAAAGGAAAATAATAAAACTCGAAAAACCTTCGACTTCTATCTCGCAATAAATTTTAATCAAACGCATGATTTATTACAACAAAATACATTTTTATTTTCTTCTATAGATTGCATGTTTGTTACATCAGAGCCGGGATCCTTTATATACACTTCAGAAAGCAACGACGAAAAGGTTTGCGGAATTTATTTTCTGGCCGGTCCTGATGAAAAAGTGGAGGTTAATTTCATCAGCTTCGACGTGCCCTGCGAACACCATGGACTTGTCTCGGTAAACAAAGAGAGAAAAAAAACCTAGATATAGTGAAACGTCGACACCTGTATCGCGCAGAAAATGAACCAATATAAAAGAAACCAATGTACTATTTGCGGCGACTACCATGTATTTTTCTACCCGCGTAGGTGGTCGATGGCTGGGAATTAAACGGCGAGGTGTTCCCCAGCGAAATAGATCATCGATTGCCGCTCAAGCAGAGGAGCACTGAATTCTGTGGTAAAAATGTCGGCATGAAAAGAACGTTCGTTAGCTCGCAGAACGTTGCCGTCATACAATACAGAATTCCAAAAGCTGGAAAGGGTTTCACTTTGCTGGCTAGATTTATAAAAAATCCTAGACGTAAGTTTCAATTACATATAAATTATTTAAACATTTCTTTGTCCAATCAATAAATTTTAACACTTGAAGACAATGATTAACGCTGTTAAGTTTCAAAACTTGAAAGTAAATTGATAATAATTCTAGAATTCAAAATCAAAGAAACAAAAGCTTTTATTACACGCACAAAGGGTTTGTAGTTTAATAACTGCAGCTCTGATAAGGAATGAAAATAAATTATACAGGGATGAATTAATAACTTTAGACTTGGAAAGGAAAGACACGAAAGCCTTCGTTGTGATAAAATTAATTCTGCAGAGACTATGGTTGATGCTGTGTAGTTTCAAATATTAATGATAAATTAATAACAATTTTAGAATTATCAGAAGCAAGGAAATGAAAGCTTTCGTTATTTATACAGAAGGTTTGCTCTTTGATTCAGAATTCATTGTCCCTGTTTCCTTTGAATCGTGCCCCAAGAAATACGCAGAATGGTATAAATAATTCTTAATCATTTTGCAGCCTGCAACGTCCTGGCAACGCGCATAAGCGAACCATTTACGCTTCGTAATTACGGCAGACGGATAAATTGCACCTACGTAGCGCTGTATCCAGGAAACGTCCAAGTAATCGCGCTGGAGGTCGGCGTATCTAATTTCCTTGGTTCCGTTCGCACCACTGAAACTGGAACTTTGCAGAAAGTTCGTACTCTTTCCCTCGAAGATCATAGATCCTAGATTATACGGTCGATTAAGTTTAATCGTCTCAAATTACTCCAACTAGTCCCTTCTGTATTTCTACCCTATTTCCTTCTGACAATGTATCTAGTCGTTAACATACTCCAATTATTTAGGACAGAAGTTACAATTCAACTATCTCTCTTCACCTTACAATAGTATATTATTAAAGTAGCTAATAATTTTTGTATAAACGTTAGGCTCGATTATTGATTGCAAAATGTTGATTTTTAGTGTGAGGAAACCAGTCCAAACGACCGAGTGGTAATAGGAGGTAGCTACGGCTTGGACACGTCTAAAGTTCAGATAGTTGATTCTATTTGTGGAATAGATTCTAAACCAGGTAATACGGTTAATAACTTCGGGCATCGTATCGATTTCAATTGGAAAATAACTGGGGGAGACTCCCACGGATATCGGTGTAGCCGTGCGATCAAATCAAACAATCTAAAACCCATTGGAAAGGGCTCATTATAAGATAATCCTTACAAGTCAATACTTAAGGGTGACATTATAATTCCAATTAATCTATGGAAGTTTCTCCCAGTTAAGTTCTATTTCCTTAAGATATCTATGAACTTTGAAAAGTTAAGATGGATCATACACTGGTGGAATTAATTCTGGACATTTTATTTCATATTTGTGCAGAAAATGTTTATTTTGCTGTGCTAAATTGATACCATAATATTTTTATTATAATCTATAATGTTTATACTTAATATTTTCACATGATTTGGTTTGTGAATGTTTGAAAATTTTAATTAAAAAAAATCTAAAATGTGTTGCTATTTTTGAAATGGGCATACAGGATGAAATTAATTTTTTTCTACCTCCTTTGATTTGTTGAAATTGTGATTTTTATTGTATATTAAAATTATGACTGTAAATGGTATTTTTACCGATTTTTTTTATATAAACGACGCCCTAAAATTAAAAAATGATTAGAATATAAAATATAAATAGTTATATATTAACTAATTTGAATAAATTTAAGTAAAAATTTAAAAGTGTCAAGAATTAAATTTCTCTAGTCTGGAGTTTAGAAAAATTAAACAAAAATGTTCTTCATTTCAGATTATCACGAGCTGGTGGAGTACGGTGTCACCTCTGTGCGATTAATATCGAGCGGTTTCTTCGAGAACTCAGTCACTGTTGAAATTCAGCCGCTCAAAGATGACTTATTCGACACGAATATTAGTATTTAATCGCTGTACACCATGAAAACTTCATCGTTGCCGCTTGAAGTTATGTAACTTCATTGTAAATTGCATTTATTATCAAAATGAATCTGACAAAGGTCCCAAGATTTTAGTCTACTCGAGAAATCAATTCGTTGAATCCCTTTAAATTATACAAATATACTTTGGATCTTGCTGTTATACTTTATAAATAAATATAATATATATAAATTATTTATTAATATATATATATGTATATATATTAATAATCAATTATTAAATTACTATTTTTTAATATAATTTAAATAACCTCTTGTGTGAGTGGATGTATTTTATTGCGAGATCATTTTTTATTATTTAATGCTCAAATCTTGGAAGTCTGCATTGAGTGTAAAAATAATTTATGTTTCACGTTCTTTCTCTGAAACGATTCATGATTCGATAGAGCGTATAACTTGTGATAAATGGATTTCAATACGTGTTGAATGTGTAGATCTCTGTCAATAGTATAAACACACGATAACTGAGTACGTTTTAGAAATTTAGAGGAATGCCTTGATTTTTTATTCTTGTAAAAGCTAGATTGGCTGACATGTGCCAATTGCTTTTAACAACTGAATAAATATTAGTTACTCGTCCAGTGTTCATTTATTTATTACTGCTAATATGTTTATTTATATTAACTCATTCAACAAGCTGAGCAGTTCTACAGTAGTAAGTAAGGTTTGTAGCTCTGACAACTTCCGGTATACCTGAACTGTTGCCAAGCAACTCAAGTGTACACAATCCTCAATACATAACAGAGGGTGTAACATGAATCCTTTTGCAACAATTAATATCGAGTGTCATCGAGAATCATCATGCTACTCAAATACTTAGGCAATGTTATGTCACCATATGTGAGCATCTATTTTATTTCAATAAGTTATTTGTAAAATCATTTAAGTATTCTTTAATCTGTTTGATTTAATGTGAAATAGGAATATGAGAATCGAGTAGTAAGCATTGTTTGGTCACCAAACAATCTAAAACTAGCTGTTGCATCATCTGATCGTTGTATATATCTTTTTGATGATAAGTGTGTGAAGAGGGACAAATTTTCAACAAAACCTGTTGACTCTAAGGTTTGTTCAATAATACTTTTGAAACATAGTTGATATTTCTGTGGATACTGAAGAACTGTTAATTATTTTTCAGTTTGGTAAGAAGAGTTATGTGATTAAAGCCATAGCCTTTTCCCCAGATTCTACAAAAATAGCAGTGGGTCAGACAGATTGCATGATTTATGTATATAAAATTGGGGAACAATGGTATGTAACAGAAATAAAAGGAACATTACATTTTAAGGATATTATAAATTTCATGTTACAACAGGGGAGAGAAGAAAGTAATTTGCAACAAGTTTCGTCAAAGCTCTTCAGTTACCTGCCTCATCTGGCTAACCGAAGGGCCAATTATTGTTGGTTTAGTGGATGGGAAAGTTCGTGCGGCATTGGTGAAATCTCAGAAAGCTCAGACTCTTTACACAGCTGATTCAACGACCATTGCATTGGCTTCAAAGTACACTCACGACCCAAGTGTTACGCTTACTTATTAATAAAACTTTGCCACCTTGTAGAGCTCGTCGAGCTGAACACGCCTATACCCCATCTTGGGGGCAGATATTAACAATTAAAGTTAGTTACTCGTTACATTGAGAAGTATGACATACTCACACATATGAGCGATTAGCTCCGAGGTTAAACACATGGCTCGCAACCTGAAGGTCCACGGTTCAAATCCTTGGTTTCCAACATTTTTTTTTATGGTAATTTCTCTTTTTAAATAACTATTGTGCTATAATCATTGCATTTATTAACAATTAATTACATACGCTGCAATTTTTATAGAATTTAAGTTATTCAAAATAGAATATAGAATTTTAGTTTACAATTATATAGAATTTCAGTTATTCAAAAAAAGACAAATTATTATTTAAAAAAAAAAAAGTGGAAACCAAGGATTTGAACCGTGGACCTATAGATTGCGAGTTATGTTGTTTAACCCCTGAGCTAACTCTTTATATGTGCGAGTTTGTCATACTTCTCAATATAAGTAGTAACTAACTTTAATTATTAATATCTTTTAAACAATTAGCCATCTGCCCCCAAAATGTGGTATAGGCGTGTTCAGCTCAACGAGCTCTACAAGGTGGCAAAGTTTCATTAATAAGTGAGCGTAACACTTAGGTAGTTCCCCTCTCAATTACAAACATTCAATCATTTCAAGTAAACAATAAATTAATTCCATTAAATTTTAGCATCAGAGGAACCGGGTTTCTCTCAAGTCATGCAGATGGTAATATTATAAAGTACCATATAACCGACGATGGAAGTCACGAGCCGTCTGGACGTATTTGCACGCATACTGTGCCTGCCTATGCGCTAGCTTGGCCCCAGTCTCACATCTTAGCAGCAGGGTGCGACAGACGAGTGACCTTCTACGATTCTCGTGGAAAACTGGTGAAGAATTTCGACTACAGTCGCGAGAACGAGAAAGAAATAGCAGTGGCATGCTGCAGTCCAAGTGGGCAAAGCGTGGCTATTGGATCCTGGGATAAAATCCGGATACTGGACTGGAGTCCTCGACGTTCAATCTGGGAGGAGGCTAATACAAAATCTTTGCCTAATTTTTACACTGTCACTGCAATATCTTGGCGCCGTGATGGTTCCAGGTTCATTTCCCCATTGCTTATACAAGTCAGAGTAGAATAATATATCTATAGAAGTCCTATCCTTTCTTAGATTGCTTGTGGGCAGTCTCTGCGGTGCTGTGGAACAGTTTGAAACAGTATTGAAGAGGACGGTGATAAGAGGCAGCCATGAGGTAGCATACGTTGGTCCTAGCCAGGTGGTAATCCGACCATTGAACGAAGGCAATCGACCTGTTATCATCAGATCACAGACAGGCAATGAGATAGAGGATGTCAAAGTCCTAGGACGAGCTGATAACAATGTAGTAGCTCGTACAGCCAATACCTTATTGCTTGCTGACATTGAATTGAATCTGATCAGCGAGATTCCCTGGGACGACAAGAGCAACGGTGAGAAATTCTTCTTTGAGTATCCAAGAGTCTGCCTGATCTTCTGCTCTGGAGAATTGACCATCGTCGAGTATGGAAACAACGAGCCACTGGGCTCTGTGAGGACAGAGGCGGTTAATCCTCACGTGGTCAGTGTGAGGATCAACGAGAGGCAAATACCTGGAGCTCCGGACAATAAGAGACTGGCTTATCTATTAGATCCTAGAACCGTTCGCATTACTGATCTGATAACCGGGATAACGGTTGCTATGATTTCCCACGACGTACGCGTTGATTGGTTGGAATTAAGCGAAACTGGTCACAGATTGCTATCGAGAGACAAAAGAGCCAGGTAACGCTATAGAAAAGTCTCTTGCTGCCAAATGGTTAAATGAACCTTGCGCTATTTATTACAGACTGTGGCTAAGCGATGAATTAGGTGGGCGAATTTTATTATTAACCGGTGTCAGTTTCGTCTCCTGGGTGTTGGGTAGCGACGTGGTCGTGGCTCAGACAGGGCAAACCCTGGCGGTTTGGTACAACGTGGACGCCCCGGAGGTAGCTACTCTGATACCAGTCCGCGGAGACGCCGTGGACATTGTCAGAGAAGATGGTCGAAGTTCTGTTATGGTAGAAGAAGTTGGAGGCAAAGTAGCTTATTTACTCGACGAGCCGTTGATCGAGTTTGGCACAGCTCTGCACGATAACGATTTTGGTAGAGCTCTGTTGTTCCTGGAGGAACTGGCGGACCGGCCCCAAGCGGAGGCCATGTGGGAGAATGTGGCTAGAAATGCAATGGCCACTAGGCAACTGTTAGTTGCTGCTAGGTGTTATGCAGCTTTGGGAGATGTAGCATGTTCCAGGTTAGGTTAGGTTATGTTCCAGATTACATTTACATCTAATTTCCCAACAGCCTAACGTTTGATGCTTTTCAAAAAAGAATGATACTAATTTCTCGCTCTCAGGTTCTTGAAGAATGTTGTACAGATTGGAGAGAAATACAGCGAAGAAACTGGAAACGATCCACTCTCCAGCCCCGATTGTTGGGCGAAGCTTGCAATTCTGAATGGGGAGCTGAAGACTGCTGAAGCCATATACTTGGAACAGAACGAGTTAGACAAGGCTCTGGACATGTACCAAAGTTATTGGCATTGGGAGGATGCACTGATGTTGGCGCAAAATAGAGGCTATCTAGGTCTACAGGAACTCAGAGACAGGCATTTAACTTGGCTACTCGAAAGTGGCCAGGCAGCTAGAGCAGCAGCTATTCTGGAGAACACCAATCCACGACGAGCTGTTAAACTCTACCTGGATGCTCGTCGACCTGGACGAGCAGCTCGATTAGTCCTGGCCGACGATGAGCTATTAAATGACAAGTCGATCGTTAATGAAATTGTAAGGGTACTGAAGGCGACAGACTTGATGGAGCTCGCCGGAGAGCTGTTGGAAAAGACTTCAGAACCCCAGGAGGCTATCAAGTGTTATTCTCAAGCTGGTGTGTTTGCAAGAGCAGTGGAATTGGCTAGGGAGGTGGATCCAACCTCGGTGGTTGATCTGGAAAGAGACTGGGGCAAACACCTGGCATCGGCTGGCCACTATGATGCTGCCATTAATCATTTTATAGAAGCAGGTGAGACAGCTCTAGCTCTGGATGCCGCTATCAATGCTCGTCAGTGGAGAAAAGGCTTGCAAATTGTCCAAGTAAGCATCTCCTTAATTTCCATTGATTCTTTCAAAGGCTGCTTCTAACTGACAATCTTTTTCCAGGTCATAGAGCACGATAACCCTACCATCCGCAAGCAGTGTGAAAAACTTGGCGAGTATTTCGCCTCGATAGGGGAAAAGAGTCTGGCAGAGAAGCTTTTCATCCGCGCCGGGGATGCTCGACGTGCCGTGGAGGTACACGTGCAAAGTGGCAACTGGAGTCGTGCCCATGAAGTGGCGCAAGCGTACATGACTCCCGGCGAGGCGAACGAGGTGCTGTCCAAACATGCCGTCGATCTTTGCGAGGCAGGGGACCTGAAGCATGCCGAGGAGTTGTATCTCGCCATCGGTCAGTACGATTCGGCTATATCGATGTACAAAAAGGCTGGTCGTCGCCCGGACATGATTCGCCTGGTGGCGAAGTATAGGTCAGATTTGCTGGACGCGACACACGTGCACTTAGCCAAGGAATTGGATGCCTCGGGCAAACCCCGGGAAGCCGAAGAGCATTATCTTGCAGCCGGCGATTGGAAGGCTGCTATCGCCGCTTATAGGTCAGCCAACATGTGGGAGGATGCTCTTCGCGTTGCCAAACAGAACGCCGGGGACAATGCTGCCCAACAGGTGAATCGATTCTTCTATGTTCAAAATCTCAGTCCTTCATGGGGTCTCCTGGAGTTATGTCGGGTGACGATGGGTGGGGGCTCATTCGACAGGGCATGGAGTGGGAAGTATTACGACCCCAAGGTGTCCCACCTCCAACCCCAGGAACATGGTCAAAATGATAACATAAGATGATGACGGTGTTGATGGAGTTATGTCGAATGACGGTATGGGGCGGCTCATTCGACAGGGCTCATCGAGGGTAACAAATGTCCTAATAGGAGCCACGACCTCAGAGGCCGGGAACATGGTGAAACTTCAACCTAACTTAACCTGATCCTCATAAAAAGCGATCGCTCCTCTCCCTCGCTCTTCCTGTCCTCCTTCTCCTGATGAGGACGATCACATCATCCTCTTCTGCATCATTTCTTAATCGGAGGAACGAGAGCGGATGATCCCGTTCGGATCAGAGGGTGGCTGCTGCTTCACTCTTCTCCGTTCCTCCTCCACGCCATCATCATCCTTGCCGTGCTTTTGGCCTTATGAGAGTCTCCTCTCCTTGACTGGGATTTTAGACATGTCACTTGCTTTTCTTTTCTCTTCTTTCCATCCATCATCATCATCATCTTATGTCATCATTTTGACCATGTTACTGGGGTTGGAGGTAGGACATCTTGGGGTCATAATACTCCACTCTCCATGCCCTGTCGAATGAGACCCCTCCCATAGTCACCCGACATAACTCCAGGTCAGCCCCTTCATGATACATAGTTTCACTTTCTTTTTTAGGTCGCCTTACTGTGGGCACGTACACTGGCTCCAGAGCTAGCAGCAAGATTGCTGATACGTTTAAATTATTTGGACAGTTGTCTTCAGCTAGCCTGCGAGGCGGGTCTCTTCGACTGGGCTTTAGAAATTTCCAAGTACGGTAGCGCTGAGCAGAAGAAGGAGGTTCATTATAGATACGCAATGGCGTTGGAGGATGCAGGTCGCTTCTCTGAAGCTGAGAAGGAGTTCATCAAAGCGGAGAGAATGATGGAAGCGGTACAGATGTACATACACAACCGCGATTGGGAAGCAGCTGAGGATGTGGCGCAGTCTATCAATCAGGATGTGGTTGCACAAGTGCTGATCGCCAGGGCGAACGAAGCTGCAGAAGCTCAGGATTATTCCTTAGCCGAGACTTTACTCTTGAGAGCGTATAAACCAGAGATGATCATTGAACATTACAAAGTAAAATGTTATTACGATAATTCAATGGTAAAGTATGTCATGTGCTATAGAAATATGCGTATTGCAGAAAGCAGGCATGTGGTCCGAGGCGTTGCGAGTTTGCAGGGAGTACCTGCCTAGTCAGGAAGCCAATCTTCGCCGAGAATTGGGCCAAAAGAGCGCTTCCCTAGCCGGCGCGAATGCTTTGGAGGAAGCGAAAAAGTGGCTAGAGGTTGGAGAAGTGCGAGCCGCTTTGGATATCTTGGTTCTAGACCCTCAAGCACCTAGACCGTCCCTCATACGGGCAGCTGATATTCTTCTTCATCAAGCTGATCCAGAAACTGCTGCTCAAGTTGGCGGAGATCTTGGCGCACGATTATTTGCTGTCGGTGAACACGCTCTTGCGGCGCAGGTCGTTATTCCACCTCAAAGTTTTCATGGCTCCTTTTGCGTTCGTTAACCCTTTAACTGCGGGTACTTTTAGCACAGAAGTACTTCATTGCTCTAATTTTAAATTATATTACTGAAGTGATATTCTATTTTAAAAGATTTATTTTATTTTTATTTTAGTGGTATATAAGCCACAGCCGCTATTTGATATTAGCAAAAATTAACAAGTTGCTATAATTTTAGTATGTGGTTTATAAACCACACCCACAGTTAAAGGGTTAACCTAAGCTTTCTTTTAGGTGTTCTTGCAAGCTGATAGATTGAAAGATGCTATTGATGCATTGGCATCCGTTGGAGAATGGGAGAGAGCTAAACGTATAGCCAGAGAATTGGCACCAGACATAGAGCCCTACCTCGAAGAGAAATACAAAGAAGCCATGTTGAGAGACGGACAAATAGATAGGCTAGTGGAGATAGACGCAGAGGCTGGCCTTGAAGTACTGGCTAACAAAGGACAGTGGAATCAAGTGTTTGAAACTGCAAGTTCTCAGGGTTCTCAGGTTTTGCACAAATATGTTGCGCAAAGAGCTGTGCAGCTTATGAAGTCCAACGCTTCCCTTGAAGCTTTACAGTTGTACGTTAGATATGGAACACCTCCTGTTCCACAAAATTTCAATCTCTATCTACAATTATCAGAAAGTGTTCTGAATTCAGAGGCATATCACGAGTACAAGTATCTTGCTCTTCTAAGAACCGTTCTCTTGGACCTTTGGAACAGTTTGAAATCCTCTGAAGATGCACCCAGATTGAAATTTGAGAGGTTACTCGAGGCGACACACTATTCAGCTGTGAAACAGGGATGCCGTGATTATTCAGTACTCTCTGGACTGGTTTTAAAAGCGTCCATAACTCTGTTAAGGTACACCGACATTATCCTTGCTGATCGAGCTTACTACGAAGCTGGAACCGAGGCACGGACAGCTGGATTAAACAGCGAGGCGTTCGTTTTTCTTAATCACTTCCTGGATTTGGAGGAGTGCATAGAAGAGGGCGACAGTACTGTGATGGATGTCGACGACCTAGCTGTGACAGACTTCCCAGTAGAGGTTCCATTGCCGGAATCTTTGAGTTTGAGCGCGCAACAACGAGAAGAAGCCCGTGAATGGGTACTGGCAGTGTCCATGGATCAGAAAGTGGAACAAGTTCTGCCTGCTGATCATAGAGGAGTCTACGTTGGATCATTGACTTCTCCATCGAGTGGTGCTGGAGCTTTGCAAGGTTGCATCTTAACAGGATATCCTGTACGAGGTCCAATTATTCGTTTCGCAGAGGTACTTCAAGCAGCGAACAATATTATCTTGTGATTTCATTTAGAATATAGTAATTGGTTTCTCTTCAGGGTAAGCGAGCAGCTGACCGTGATGATTGGACTAAAATGATTAACACAGCACGTCAGGCTCCTCAAGATTCAGTACTTAACGATATCTTAGCTTTTATTCAAGAGTGGTGCGGAGCAGTTCCCAATTACTCTTTCTAAAACCTACTTAATTCACAATCTCTTGTAAGTATTAGAAACTAAACTAAAAATTCTATATGTACATACATATAAATACATAAAAGGTGTTTTAGCGTATAAAACAGGATTACAATTATTTGATTGTGACATTTCTAACGAAGAAATTTTTTCTAAAGCCTTCTCTGATAAGGAGAACAGGAAAAACAGAGTCCTCGTTTCTCTAAAATTTATTTAAATAAGGCTGCATTATGTAAATAATTAATCTAACCTAAGCATAAATAATTCTATGCAATGTGAATATACATTTATCATATGTTCACAGGATTCTCATGTCTTAAATTGATTCTATGTATAACAATGAAAATCCTAACGAGTTAGAAACTAATCACTCGTTGTCTGAACACCTATCCACGATGGATATTTATGACTACTTGGTGATGACTATGCGTGTGTTGCATTTGTACACAGACTATGTATCTCGAAAACAATAGTACAAGCTTGAAATTAAGAAACCTTGTGGCATTAAATGTTGAATTCCTTAAAACTTCATTCCAAAAATTCCTCCCTTTGAGTAAGTTACATTTCTTACATTCCTCTTAATGTATTCAATTATCCTACACGTTTAATATTTATTTAAGTTAGGCTGAGAAAAAAAGACCAACGTGTAAAAAGGTGAGATAAAAGTCTTTGCAACAGGCTCGAGTGAATTTAAAATATTGAAAAATTGATAGGAAACATTCCTTGCGTCTATTAAAGTGTTGCATTTTATGCATTCTAATAAGACATTAATATTGGAAATGTTTATCTTGAATTTTAATTGTGATATTTGTAAAAAATAAAGGCTGATCCTTTAACAAAATATTATTTTTCAAGCATCTGCCCCCATTTCTTCTTGCTTATACCATCATTTCCTAAGTGTTTTTTAACATACAGAAAGTGTCTGGAAAAATGTACTGTAAAGAAGATTTCCAAGCTAAAGATAAGACAATCCTTGAGAATCCTATATGGCCTAGCGATCATCCAGTTCACAACTTATTTAACAGTTGATAAAGTAGCTAATCAATTCTATAAAAATATTGAAAATCATCTTATTCTTCACTCAGCAATCTGATTTATGGATGATACAGTATACTTCAAGAGACACTTTGTATATGTACGTGTGTTTGAATATACAAAACATTTGATAAATAGTGTATTTCCTGTGAAAATAGGAAACACATTCTCACAACCCTAAACATTGTCTATTAATTTTCTTTTACGCTGACTTATTAAGCTGCAATTCTTTTATTATTGGGAATGTTTTGCTTCAATTTACAATTATATAAAACATAAATAAAATCCAATTAAAATCTCTTTAAGAGAATGTCCAGAATAACTAAATTTAGGTAAACCTAGACAATTAATAGTTTAATTATTTTACTAGAAATCTGGAGTTCCCACATCCTTACGGTCCAGGAAACACCCTATTTATTAAATACCCTGCACTCGCACGTCGACTGGAATATTAACTCATCAAAGTCTCTCCTCTTAGAAAAAATGAAGAACATTAAATATAAAAGAGCTTTCAGAACATATACAATATATTCACATGTTTATCTCCTACTATTTTACTAAAACATGTTCCATTTTGTTCGATTTTAATTCCACCATATATATTCCCTAGCGCCTAGGGTATCGAGCGAATCCATACTTCAGGGTGTTTCGTAACTCCTGTAACACCCGAAAATAGATTCTGAACAACTTTTTCCTTTACCAAAATGTTGGTCGAAGCTTTGTTTTTGAATTATTAACGAAAAACACTAGCCAATGAGAGCGCGCGCTCAATGCGCTGGTGGTTCAGCGCGCGCTCTCATTGGCTAGTGTTTTTCTTTAATAATTCAAAAACAAAGCTTCGACCAACATTTTGGTAAAGGAAAAAGTTGTTCAAAATCACCTCAGCAACCCCCCATTTGTTACAGGAGCTATGAAACACCCTGTATATTTTCAAATAATTTGTCCCCACTAACTTGCATCGTACGTACGTTGGGAAGATTCTTACAAACAGAATAAATAAAAATAGAAAGTAATACTAAATCAGATTTCCGAACAACGATACTTCGTCGAAAGATCATTTAACAATTTTCTATATTCACCGAGGAAACAGTTATGGCCCATTCCAGATACAAGAATCACCCTCTGTACTTTGCAGAGCGGCCTAGAAATGTGTAAACGCGTTCTTTACAACTAATTACAGCAACTATTGCTGCGTGATCCTGAATACAGGGCCGATTCTTAAGAAGAATCTCCGGAGTACCGATCGCAATTCTGGCTTGAGATCGAAGCACATAACCTCGCAGAGCAACGGATAACAGCTGGACGCGTGTACCGCGAAACGGTTATCGCTCATCTTCAGAATTCTCGTTAGAAGCAGTAACAATATCGGAGTCCAGGCGTCTCTGTGAGCCTCGTTGGAAAGCGCGAGGAAGTATTCGAGTGCCTCGCAAGCAACCTCTACCAACCTGGACTCCACTTTACTCCAATCAGCTCTGTGAGCCTCGTCGCTGTACATTTTAAAGAGTATTCGCAAAGCACACGCCAACGATTGGGTCTCCTGCTTAAGTAGATTCGGCTTCACGTTGCCCCGGAAACCAGCCTTCCATAGCACGTTCCGTTGCTCGTGGTTCGAATTGAAGCTCTTGGCGAACCGATGAGACTTCAATAAGCACTCGACCAACTGCAGGAGGTGCATCGTCGTCAGGGCACAATACATGCCCTGTTCTTCCTTCTGTTGATCCGCCCCTGCTCGGACGCCCAATTCGGAGGACTTTCCATTGAACATGTCCGCCTGGGCTAAAGCTAAGTTCTCCTGATCCTCCTTTCTCGAGGTGGCTGGGTAGAATACAATATTGTCTATCGTTTGAATCAGCTCCAGCTGCACGACACATTTGATCAGCAACGCATAGAACAGCTTATTCTTCCCGCTCTCGCTGTTCGTCAGGCTTTGAGAACTGTTGCTTCTCTTCAGGATGCCCACGTGGTTATCAGTCTCGCCTGTGATCACGTCCAAGTCGGACTCCTTGTTGGGCGACAGAGGCTTCCATGAGAGAAGCGCGGACGGTAAGGTACTCTCAAAAATGTCGAGGACGCAGCTACAGGTCTTCTCCCATGTTTGTTCGTCGAACTTGATGCCGTTGCTGATCACCAGGTTCTCCAGACAGTTGGTACCGGACCTTGCCAGCTGCTCGTTGTCCTGTTGCACGCACCAGAGTAACTGGGAGTACAATTGCTCTAGAAGAAGAGGGCCCAGGGTATCGTAGAACTGCGAGAACACGTCCACGATAGCGTACAAGGCATGGTTGCACGTTGTCGTCATCCATTCAGCTTTCTAAAATGTGGGAAGTTTAAATAAATAACAGAAGAGCAAGCATCGAGAAGAGTAAATTCGAATTACTTCTGTATGCTGCTCGGGTAGTTTCATATTGTCAAAAATCCTGAACAAGACTTGAAACAGATCCTTCCACCAATGGGGTTTGAAGGATGCCCCATGCGTTTTAACGACATCGAATAATACAGTTAGCGCTCTTGTTCGGACGTCCAATTTACATCTGCTCACTATGCAGGATAATTCAAACAACAATGGGAACCATCCTCTCACCTAAACGATAAATAATATGCTTGAAATTGTGAACACAATGGTCGAGGCAAAAATTCAAATTCTATACAGGGTGTCCTGGAAATCGTGTAAGCCGCTTAAGGGGGTGATAGCCGGGGTGATTCTGAACAACATTTTTCATTGCGAAAATGTTGTTTGAAGCTTCGTTTTTGAATTATTAAGGAAAAACACTGACCAATCGGAGCGCACGGGCTCAGGGGCGGCAGCGTCGGCTACGAAACCCGGCCATGGCCTAAGTCAGTTTCGTTTCAATTTTTTCCAATTGTACCCTCTAATTCAAAAGGTAGTTGCTTAGAATGCTTAGAATTTCTTTTTTTACATTTTTTTGGCAAGTGGTAAGGGATTCATTTTAAGCATCAAATTAAAATTTGTTTATTTTTCCAACGACTCCTGCTGTACTAGCGGGGTGCTGAGTTGTTCGCTTAGGACCTAGGCCAAGCCCGGGTTTCGTAGCCGACGCTGCCGTCCCTGAGCCCGCGCATTATGCGCGCTCGGATTGGCCAGTGTATTTCCTTAATAATTCAAAAACGAAGCTTCAAACAACATTTTCGCAATGAAAAATGTTGTTCAGAATCACCCCAACTATCGCCCCCTTAAGCGGTTTACACTCTTTCTGGGACACTATATGTATATGTTGTTACCCAAGCTCTGTCTTCTTCGGATACCATTCCACTATCATCCATCATGCCCTCTGCGAAAAGATTTGGATTAGCATCGATATAAGAGGCACAGGAACGTATCAATCTTATAGCCTCCATGCTCGTCTCTGGGAAGGAGGCATTGCAAGCGAATTCACTGAGGCACTTGACGGCATCTTGGAAGGAATCCACCATGATACTAAAATCTTCAGCGTACAATTCATCTAGAAACACAAATTACATTCTTCAGCACTGATCAATGTATCTAAATTTCTATGTAGGAAGAAATACTAACTTATAATCTTGCCGGTCATTGAAAAGGCCAATTCAACTACAGCTTCGTCCCTGTCGCTGGCCGCATGATGGAAAACACTGAATATATTTTTCCATCCCGATCGAATATTGGGCGCTTGCGAATGGACGATTTGCGCCACGCAACGGACGACCATGTCTCGGATCACCGGTGATCTATTCTTCTTCATGATATGCTCGAACGGCCTAAGGAAATCCTTTTGGAAGCGAAAATTGGCAAATTCCCCCTTCTCGATGAACTTCGTAGCGAGTTGCCTCAAGGAATCGACCGCGAAGAAAGCGATGTCCTGGCGAGGACTGCAGCCAACCCTGTCGAAGTGGTCTCCTATCACTTGCCAAATCCTGGACCACTGGAGTCTTATACGACCCATGTTGTAATAGGAGATCTCTACGATTTTCGTCAGAGAAAACATTCGCGGTTGCGTTGGATGGGATAACTCTTCCAGGGAGACTTGGCAGAGAGCTTTCACGAATTCTACAATCGCATCTCCGTCCAGTCTGGTGGAGCCAGTGAATATTCTGTCGACAGCCACTACTACGCTCTGAGAGCTTGTTTCCCCTATCGATTCCTTGACGCTTGCTGAAATTAATAAAAAAATAATGAGACATCTATTTTCTAGTGATGTGCGGCCCGACTATTCGGGTCGGTTCGGAAAACATCGGGCGAGCTCGGGCGGGTGGCCGATACATACGTGCAGTCGGGGGGTCTGACTGTTTCGGGTCAGGTCGGATAAAGTCGGGCAGATTCGGAGGAGCTCCCGCAGGCCGCGGGCCTGACCCGACCTGACCCGAAATAGTCGGGCTACTCGACTGCGCGACTCGGTCACTCGCCCGAGCCCGTCCGATTTTTTCCGAGCCCCCCACATCCCTACTATTTTCACCAAATATGAAGATATCTGGGATACTCACGGTCCAGAGAACTGAGATTCAGACTATTATTCTGATGAGAGTTATTGTGAGCTAGATTGAAGTTCACCAATGGCGATGGAAAATGGGGCTTAGACGGTGGACCCAGGAGCTGAGGTCTAACGCCGGTACCGATCAGCTGTGCAAGCTCCAGCTGAGAGATACACTTGACGACGTCCAACCAGGAGCTGCCAAGGTAATTGCCATCAGTATGCGCGACGGTGATCAACGTCTTTATGGTGTCGATGTTCTTCGCTTTCATCTCGGTGATCGGTGAGTTCGCGGTCAACAGAGTGAACCGTGCCAAGGCTTGCACGTACGCGTCCCGTTCTAACTATATAATTGAAAAAGAAAAACGCAAGTACGGAAATGGATTTTTGCACAGAGGCACGGAATTCTGTTTACGTTGCACAAATGTTTACCGTCATGTGAAATATGCAAGCGATGCGTATCGCGCATCTAATGCCGTCCAGGCAAAGGGAAGCGATTTCTGGATCGTCGCAGTCCTGAAGACCGACGCTGAACGCGGCCAGAAACGGAGTCCATGCGATTTTAAACATCGGCCTAACGTGCTCCAAATGCTTGGCAGTTGTGAACGGTGCTTGAACGTGGCTAACGGATTCCATTAAATTCTTCGCTGCTGTTGAGATTACTTCCATTTCCATGTTCCACAATAGCCGCCGTTTCTTCTCGCTAGAGATCACTGTGAAATACAATAAAAATCAGTAAGGTTATATAATCATTGGCGACAAATTAAATGGTCAGTATTTAAATCCATTTTCAGTCAGTATTTTATTACCAAAGTGGTCGGTATAAAAATACTAAACGGTTAGGTTAGGTTAGTACTCCCCCTGGTGTAGTTCGCCCCGCAGCCCGCAGGGAAGACCGAGGCGGGGACTGCTGGCGTCCCGGGGCGTCATTGCACGCAGTCCCCCGGGATGGAGCACTGAGGACACCGGGGTGCGGTCCTCAGTGTCGGCAGAAGGGGGATCCCGATCTAGGCCCCCCTGGTGATAGGCATCTTTGACGGGGGAGGTTCCGGCGTTATATTTCCTAGGGCCCGCAGCCTCCCCTCCACGTCGGAGGAGACCACCGTGGGGTTTTAGTTGGTAGGAATCCACCTCCCCCCAGGGGCACAGCTTAGACTCCCCGCAGCCCGCAGGGAAGACCATGGCGGGGATTGCTGGTGTCCCGGACTGTGGGCCCGGGACGTCATTGCACGCGGTCCCCCGGGATGGGGCCGACACCGGGTGCGGTCCTCAGTGTCGGCAGAAGGGCGAGTGCGGTTTAGGACTCCCCGGTGATGGGCGTCTTTGAAGCGTTGCGAGGGAGATTCCGGCGTTATATTTCTTAGGTCCCGCAGTCTCCCCTCCACGCCGGAGGAGACCACCGTGGGGTTTTAATTGGTAGGAATCCACCTCCCCCCAGGGGCACAGCTTAGCCTCCCCGCAGCCCGCAGGGAAGACCATGGCGGGGACTGCTGGTGTCCCGGACTGGGGGCCCGGGGCGACACTGCACGCGGTCCCCCGGGATGGGGCCGACACCGGGTGCGGTCCTCGGTGTCGGCGGTAGGGCGAGTGCGATCTAGGACTCCCCGGTAATGGGCGTCTTTGAAGCGTTGCGAGGGAGGTTTCGGCGTTATATTTTTTAGGTCCCGGAGCCTCCCCTTAACGCCAGAGGAGGCCGCCGTGGGATTTTAGCGGGGTGTCTTATGCAAAATTTCAAAATAAACAGCGAATGGTCAGTATGGAAGGATACTGACCAAAGGATTTAAAATACTGACCAGTCTTTACTGTACTTTACAAGCCTTTATCATTTTCAGTTTTCACTCACCTTGTTTACCAGGTCGATTAGGGTTTGATTTCATTTTAATTTCATTGCCCGCAATCTCGTCATAAATTTTTGATAAATATTCTTCAGGTAAATCTTCGTTATCGCTGATGCGTCGATTTAATTTTATATACTGCTCTTTCGTCATTTTATTTTTTACCTGGGGCGAATGGAGATCGGTAGTTAGCATGATGATCGAGAATCCCAAAACGTAAGCAGTGTCCGCGCTCGTGAACAATCCATTACTAGAACAAGTCGCAGGAAATGTTAATTAAAATAATGAAGATAAAATAATTATTTGTTATATTGTAACACTTACTTCGGATTACATTCACAGTATCTACTGGCAAACTTTTCCATCAACCGATCGATTTTCTGCGCTTCTCCCGGTAGCCTGAAGCCCTCAAGAAAGTATCTCAGGGCTGTAACTAAATCGCGATCGGCAAAGTTCATTTGATCAATATAACTGTACATCACCTGATTGTGATTGTGATCGCCAAGAAAGTCACCGATCGCTGTTTTGTCGAGCCGTTCGTCCATGTGAAGCCAACGCGCAACGTCTTCGGAGGAATTACCTAGAAGACCTTGTTCTTGAAGATACTGTACCCCTTTGCTTGGCTTTCGATTAAAACTAGAGATAAAAATACCAATATTAATTTTTCACGCTTTCCTAAGTTGCGTCTCATTTAATGGGTTATACCTAATCAGGAGGCCGAATAAAAGCGATTTTTCAAGTATAATATTTTTTTTTGGAAAGACATTTGCATTTATTTTAATGAACCTTTTTACATTGAATTAAGTTGATTTTCACGTATACACTCATATTTTATTTTTATAAGAATATTGATTTGTCGAGCAGCTAGGGCTGATCGTCTTTCCAAAAAAAATACTTGTAAAATCGCTTTTCTTCGGCCTCCTGACTAACGAGGGGAACTACCCAAGTACTATAATTAAATTCTATAAAAATTGCAGCGTATCTAATTAATTATTAATAAATGCAATGATTATAGCACAGTTATAATAGTTATTCAAAAAGAGACAAAATATTTCAAAAAAAAAAAAAAATTAGGAACCGAGGATTTGAACCCTGGACCTTCAGATTGCGAGTCATATGTTTAACCGCGGAGCTAACCGTTTGTCATACTTCTCAATGTAAAAAGCATCTAAATTTAACTGTTAATATCTTTTAAACAATTAGCCGTCTGCCCCTAAACTGGGGTATAGGCGTGTTCAGCTCGACGAGCTCTACAAGGTGGCAAAGTTTCATTTATAAGTGAACGTAACACTTGGGTAGTTCCCTATAACCCCTTAAAATATCAGGCAGTCAAACAGCGTACATATCTATTCCAGTCTCCCACACTTCTTTCTGCTGTTTCTGCACCTCGTATTGCTCCGGTGAGTCCGGAATTTCCTTGTTACCGACCAGGCTCGAGTTCGCCGAGGACAAACTGCCCGCGCTTCCGTAACGAGGCAGCGGAGGTTCCACCGGAGGATCGGGTGGCTCCGATGGAATCTGCTGATCGGCCGGAACGCTTGGATTTACGTACAGATCCCTGCTCCATTCCACCATGCATTTCAATATCGATACCAGACACTCGAGGCCTCTGATGCGCATCGATTTCTCTTGATTGGGCGAAGCACCCAGTTCCAGTGCCTGCCTGCCCTGTGCAATTTTCGACAAATCATTTACAAGCCTGCAAAAGAAGAAATATGAAGATCAAAGGAACACGATCGATTCTATTTTAATCTATGTACCTTTCGAATAAATTTGCAGCGGAAAGATCGCAGTCATAATTCACGTATATGTCAACGACACTTTGGGCATCGGCGCAGATACGAGTCAACGCATGAATCACCATCCACTTGTGCTCGAAGGAACTGCTGGACGTCTCCAGGATGTTCATGAAAATTTCCTTGAAGAACACTTCGATCTGCATCTTCAGGTGCATCTTGAACCGAGCCAGCAACGCGAGGAATAGCGCTAAGGAGAGCTCGAACACCTCCGGAACCGAGGAGACTCCGTTCTTCGACAGTGCCACGCAGAGATACTGTTTTATGGCTATTACGAACATCTCGTTCGAACGCAATACTGGTCCCGCGTTCTGCAGTATGCCTAGCAGCAACTGCAGCGAAAGGATTTTCGATCTCAGCTGATGTGACCTGAAAACGATACACTGTAAGAGTATCGTTATAGACTAGTGATGTGCGGCCCGATTAATGTGTCGGGTCCCTGACTATTTGGGTCGGTTCGGAAAACATCGGACGGGCTCGGGGGAGTGTCCGATACATACGTGCAGTCGGGTAGCCCGAATGTTTCGGGTCGGGTCGGGTCAGGCCCATGCCGCGAAGGCGAAGAGGAAGGAGGACGCAGCGGCACCGACGTCGAAGTAGACGGAGAAGAAGAAGAGGTAGGTGTAGCTGAAGAGGAGCGGACGGCGGGGGCTGCCGCCTAACCCCCTCCAGCGAGGGATCGCCGTCCGGGCCTGCGGGCCCAGAGAAGCCGGTACCAGCATGCGGTCCCTGGTACCGGTAGGAGAAGTATGGGGAGGGTCCATCAGACCCTCCCCGAGAAGGACGCCACAGTGCGTGGGTGTGGAGGGGCTCTGGTGTGTTCATCAGAGGTCCCAGGGCCCCTCCCACTGCGTCATGAGGTGGACCGCTGTGGGGCCTATCGGGGCGGGGATGTCTTATGCAAGATTTCCCCATAAGAAAAAAAAAAAGGTCGGGTCAGGCCCGTGGTCTACGGGAGCTGGTCCAAATCTGCCCGACACCCGGGACCACAAAGATGCTAGGACCACAAAGATGCCAGGACCATAAAAATGTCAGGACCACAATGATGCCAGGACCACAAAGATGCCAGGGCCACAAAGATGCCAGGGCCACAAAGATGCCAGGACCACAAAGATGCCAGGACCACAAAGATGCCAGGACCACAAAGATGCCGTTGGGGCCTTATAGCCAGCCCCAGCGGTGACACGTGCCAACCCCTCCTCCTCGTGGTGTCGTCCGGACACCGGTTTACCGGTGGCAAACGGGGCTTTGGCTGTGGACGTGAAGCGCCTGATGGGTGTACCTGGGAGCCCACTCAGGTTAGCTTGTTAAAAGTAAGAGCGTCCTAGAGCAAAACTCCTTGCACGCCGACGAAGAGTTTGGTGTTGGGTCTTCGCCCCCTACGATGATTGGCTTGCCATAAGTGGAATTGCTCCGGCCCGTCGCCCTTTGGTATGGAGGTGACGCTGGGAGTGGATCGAAACTAGCGCTATGCGCCCTTTAACACCGCCGGTATAAGCGGAAAGCTTCGGAACTGCAAAGCGGGTTCTAAACCCCACAAGGCTCTTTATCGACAATCACCTGCCCGACACCCGCCCGAGCCCGTAATATCGGGTACCCGCACATCCCTATTACAGACATTTCAATTTTATGGTGCATTGGGAAACATACTTAGGGTCCGGAGTGCCATCCGGAAGCGGTTTCATGGACAGTTTGCAGAGAGCTCTGAAAACTAGAAAAGCATCCTTCTGCAAGACGTGAGTGAATTTCGCCCTGACCATATTGTCGCTCTCCGCGACAGCCTCGTCGGAGTTCTCGTCTATAGGCACTTGATCCAAGCTAGCCTCCTCGGAGGTTACCGTAACCGCGATCGCTGGATCCTCTGGAACAACTGAGTTCACAACATCCTCCAAAATTCCTCGGACAATTAACTGCGGCTCCTGATTGCTCTCCGTTGAATGTTCCTCGTGATTCACCGTCTCTGTTTCCAGCTCTCCAGATGTACAAGTGTTCACAGTGGTCGCTGAATGTTCCACTTCAGATCTGACATTCTCTTCTTCCTAAAATTGACAGGGAAGCTTCATCGGTGCATCATTTTGAACTTAATCTTGATTACACTCACCGCCTGTGTTTCCATGCGAGCAAAAATAACATTGATCATCTGCGTGAGAGTAGCACGAGCAGTGGTTTGGTTAACCAGATTCCTTGAAGCCAAGTAAACGCTATAAACTGTACGTATTGTAAGCAACACTGTGCCTTCATGAACTTCCACATGTTGACTAGTCATTACGGTGAGGAGAGCTTTTATTATCTGTAGCTGAACCCCCTCGTCTGTCTGTGGCCCCATGAAACATCCACAAATTGTTTCAACGATACGTACAATCAATAGTTTATTCGGTTCTGTGGAATCAGGTACGTTTCCAGTTAAGTGCCCATAAGCGATTAGTTTTTGCAGACAGTCCAGAGCGGTGACTACGATTCTTGGCGATTTGCTCTGACAAGCCAGTTCGAATGGCAGAAAATATTTTTCCGCCGAGATGACGTAGGAATCGCTGCGTGGCTGCGGTAAGGCGGTCGAAACCTGGACATTCGTCCCCTCTTTGATTTCATTTCGCAGGTTATCTGGAAAGTGGAATATATGGTTAAAATTAATGGAAGTCATTTTTATCTTTTGGCAGGTGAACGCAAAAGATGAAGTAACTTCGTTAGACGGCGTACAATTAAAAATAGATGTGGTATGAAGTAACATTGAATAGTATTTTTAAGCCTTAACATACCAAGGAGAGTCCTTGAAGGACCCCAGAGAATAATTTTTGGTGATTCTGCTGTAACTATACCAACAAATCCGTTTAAAATAAATATTACATAATTGGACTTATAATACGTTCGCTCAAAAATATAAAAAGAAATAAAAACACACTTGGGGTTCCAACATAGCCTCGGTTGGTATACTACGTTACATATTTGGATTGATTTATTTCTTGTTGAACGCATTGGCATTTATGGCATAATAATGTGGAGGTAAACACGGTTCTGCCCATTTATGACCAGGCAGTTCCCTTGACTTCGAAATAAAAGCGAGCTGCTATACATAATATATAAGTATAAAATTGTATGAAGAACTAATTACTATTGAAATAAACCAAATATTTGATGCCAATAATGCTTATTTATCTTAAATATATTTTTGGACGTCCAAAGAACCTAATTTAAGTAACATTCCAAACTAAAATGTTGAGAAATTTTAAGAATGAGGACTGTGGGATCCTCAGAAGAACCTGCTTGGTAAACAACGTCGACGACTTAGGCTTGGTACGTTAAGGATTAAGTAAAGCTCCCGATACTGTTACTAATCTTAATGTATATAAGCATATCAGGAAATTTACAGATAAAAATAGCATAAACGTTGCAAAATGTTGCGCAACATAGTTCACATAAATATATATTATTGTTTTAATCTACGCAAGATACAGAACTTAGTTTTAATTTGTGCTGACGTTTAAAGTTATTCTGCAAGTTTCTGTGGGGTGACATCATTCGTACATACAAGATGCAATATTCTACCACAACATGGAGTTGAGAGAATCCTTTTATTTAATTAATTTACCAAGTGCAGTCTCGCAAGACTTCCTAAGCTGTGACAGGTGTGACCGTTTGACATCCCGGTCAGCCAGGATCTTTTCCAATGCTCTAATGATGAACATTTCTTTGGAGTTATCTTGCATCGTCGCCGGGCCGCGCTGATTCCTCTGCTAGGCTGGCATGGAAGAACACGCGACTCGACACGAGCCTCGCATCTTCACGAACGTGATTTATGCGTCGATTTCTTGTGCATCGTTTTCTATCACCTCCTAGAGGCGGGATGTCCTCAAGGACTGGCAACTTTTGCAACACTGTCGACCAAATGTGGATCGATGAGGAACTTCGAAGACTTCTAATCGGCGCAATATTCGAGAAACTTCCTGGACGTTTTGTCGCAGAAATATGTTTCAGACCATATTTACGTAATCAGGGAAACAGATCGCGAAACTGGAAAAATGACAACGGTCTTTTAAAACAGCACTGGAACCATAAGAGACAAACTGAAACGACGAAGGAGAGCCATGTGGCGCCCTCGGCGAAGGATCCCGTCACGAGAGAATACACCCAGTGACTATAGATAGAAAATACTGGACATGTCATTATTCTTGAAAGATTATAATTTCAGGGATCCCAAACACCCCCAGGTGAAGTTAGGTCGCCCCTTTAGGGACAATGGCGGTCTAAACCAGCGGAGGGGAAGATGTCCCCACCACTGGGTACAGGGCCGGCCCTAAGATTTCGGGGGTCCGAGGCGAGCTCCGAAAAAGGGCCCCTTCGCCTATGACATAAAAAAAGTACCTCAAATAAAATTTATAAAATTAACATTAAAGCTTGTATAACTAATTTAGATTTGCATTTACATCGATTAATATTCAAATAAACTCTTCTTGCATTCTTAGACGCAAAATCGTCTTATTGGGGCCCTGGACCTTGGGGGGCCCTAGGCGGCCGCCTAATCTGCCTAGGTCCAGGGCCGGCCCTGCCTTTCAAAGCATCATTAATAATTGCAATTTTAGATTTAGAATAATTGCAATATGGCCTTTCAACAGGGCCGGCCCTGAGATATCAGGGTCCGAGGCAGGCTCCGAAAAAGGGCCCCTTCGCCTATGACATAAAAAAAGTACATCAAATAAAATTTATAAAATTAACATTAAAGCTTGTATAACTAATTTAGATTTGCATTTACATCAATATTCAAGTAAACATTATTCTTCTTGCATTCTTAGATGCAAAACTATTATACTGATCTAGCGCCCTGGACGATTGCCCGACCGCGCGCCCCTCTAACGCCGGCCCTGCTTACATCACTGCATCCTTTACATCCCTGCTTTCTTCATATCCCAGCATCTCTAACATCTTTGCATTCCTCACATCCCTGCATCCCTTACATCCCATTTTTTTTTTTGTACATGGTGGAAATCTTCAAAAAGACACCTCCAGCCCCCGTGGGGAGGGGCCGGAGGTAGTGTGGGATTTTTACCCACTAAAACCACCACGGTGGTCTGCACTGGGGCTATGGGCCCCCACGCCCCTGGCGCCCTTATGGAGGGGACACTTTCCCCTTCGCTGCCTTCGACCGCCGTTTTTCCTAGAGGGACGCCGAGCATGCTCGAGGGTGTAATACTCGTTATCAATAATATCTAAATTCATCAAGTATTTTCTAAAATTCATTGAAAACATTTCATACAAAAAAACTTTATTTTTTATCAGGTTTGGGAATAGAACATTTGTCAGCAAAATTGAGGTTCAATTTTATACACATGAAAAAACTATGAATAAGGCATAATATATTTCTTCTCGTAAAGATTCAGCTTGTTCTTGACACACGTGTTGCGTATGCGTATACACACGCGCGTATCACCTGTGGTGCGGTCAGAAGGCTGGCCACAACAGCAGAGAAAAAGTTGTACTTACCGATGGCTGTCATCGCTTTTTCTGACAGATGTTTTTACGTGCTCTGTTACGTGAGTTTTGTCTTATCCGAACAGATTTCAGCGATTAAGCCTTTCCTTGAGCCATCTATGGGCTCGATCTTATTTCGATAATCGAAGAGCGTTGAGCGAAGCGTGCTCGTTTAAGTTCAAAGGGTGCGTCATCGGAATTCCAAGGATCACGATCGCTTGAAAAGATCGTGTGTAAAAGAGAGGCGAGGGAATAAAGGAGAGAAAAAAAAAAAGTAGAAGTGCAAAGGAAAAATCACGTGAAATAGAGAGAGAGACTGAAAACAAAGGGCATGGCGAAGACATATGATTATTTGTTCAAGTTGTTGCTGATTGGTGACTCAGGGGTCGGCAAGACGTGCGTCCTCTTCAGGTTCTCTGAGGATGCTTTCAATACGACCTTCATCTCGACCATTGGTAAAGATTTTATTTTTATTTTATTTTTCTATTGATTTCCTTCCCTTTTATTCCTTTATTCGCTTATTCTTCATCAGGAGCTGTTTACTGAATATTCTGAACTGGTATAATAGGACTTTTAATAAAAATCTTAATTATTTATATAATCATAATACAGGAATGAAAGACTAATTACTAATGGAACATCTCTGAATGAGACTTTTTATTTGCAATACACGAAACCATTAAGTTCTTTTAGAAAGAAGATATTTAATCGGTTGATACGCAGAGATTACTTGAATGTATTGTGTAAAGTAATTGAGTTACAAAACTGTTTATCGTGAAATACGATAGAACTTTCTATAACTCCATAAATGCATTTATATCGCACTGGTTCGAGTATCTAGGATGTAGTATTCTTTTTTATTTATAAACACTCACCCAAGAACTTTAGCGGTAAAAACTATATGCATATTTATGTGTGCACATTATTTCTAATGTATGTAAGATTCATTTTTTTACTGCAAAGTTTTATAATAATTATTTAAATTAGATAGTTACAATAACTTCATAAGTCTGAATTTAATGAAAGCATATAAAAATTTTGTGTTTGTATAATTATGCACAGCAATGAGTGTATTGTTCCAAATTCGTATTTATACTTGCCCTAAGATCAACGATCCAACAGAAATAATTTGAAAATTATTTCATTTCGATAAATTTATTTACAAACATTGTAAACGCATTTATTATTTTCAGGAATTGATTTTAAAATAAGAACAATAGAATTAGATGGCAAGAAAATAAAACTACAAATATGGTAAGTGTCGTATGTAAATGTTATAAATAAAATATCTTAACAGAAAATAAATGGTAACGTAATAATAACAAAATTTCAAGTAGAATTATTGCGTCCTAGAAAGAATTTGTTTGATATGAAAATTGCTTTTCAACGAAACTAATGTATCCTCTCTTTTAAAGGGATACGGCAGGACAAGAAAGGTTTCGTACAATAACCACAGCATATTATCGTGGTGCAATGGGTATAATGTTAGTTTATGATGTAACCAATGAAAAGAGCTTCGAGAATATAAAGAATTGGATCAGAAACATCGAAGAAAATGCTTCGGCAGATGTTGAGAAAATGCTGTTAGGTAATAAGTGCGAGCTCACAGAAAAACGACAGGTCTCAAAGGAACGAGGAGAACAACTTGCTGTTGAATATGGAATCAAATTCATGGAAACTTCTGCTAAATCTAGTATCAATGTCGAGGAGGCATTTTATACTCTCGCAAGAGACATTAAGGCCAAAATGGAAAAGAAACTGGTAAATATTTTTCCAACGTGCTGTTTCTTACTTCTCTGTTTCTTGTTACATCAGAAAACAAAAACGTTAATTAATATTATTTTTGTAATAACATTTTTTTTATGAAATGCTTACTAGTTCTAGTTTACTTTCTTTATACCCACTATATTTCCATTGGGTTGAGATAAGTTATTAAGTGATATTTATAAAATACAAGAAATTATACTATATTAGTCTTTTTCAGTGGTACTCGGAAATTTTATTTCATAATTTGTCAAAGGGATTAAAACTGATTATTGTTTAGATATAACCTAGTTGCTTCCACAAATTTGTGTTAGTAAATAGTTTCATGTTAATTAACCATGATTTCTTTGTTTCCTGTATCTGTTTCTCTGTGTTTGGTGCGGGTCTGTCTCGGCAGAAGGTAACTCCTCCTCTCTCTATATATGTACTTTATTCGCATGACTATTTTTTACATTTAACAGCTTCTTTATTTTCACTAATTGCTAATTTATCATTAACCAGTGAAAAATCTTCATGAAATGTTAAAAATGTTAAACATGACCATTGCTTAACCATTAATGTGTCTGCTTTATGTTCGCTATGTATTCAAACATTTTGTATGAATTTCATCCTTGTACACATGTATGTGTTTAAAAAGTTTCTTTTAATATAGAATATGCACTTGCATTAACAACTTTACTGTCACTTAGTTTCTGATACTAATCAATATTGTTAAAATGTATGAATCTTCTGGTGTTTCTTATATTGGTTCACTATATATACAGGGTGTCCCAGAACTGGGGTGGGACCCGTGGAGGGATGATTGTTGAGGTCATTCTAAACAATTTTTTCCTTTGCCAAAATATTGGTTAAGGCTTCATTTTCGAGTTATTAACGAGAAAACGCTGACCAATCAGAGCGCGCCATTAGCGCGGGCTGAACCGCGAGAGTGTTGGGTATGCTCTGCGTTCAAGCCGTGGTCGTGATCAAGTGCATCGGCACCGCGTGGATATAATAGGATTCGTTGGGCGAAAGTTGTATCGAATAATGAATTAAAAAAAGAAAGGAAAAATAGTATCGAATTATTGGTTGCTCATGAACAACGAATCTTATTACACCGACGTGGCGTCGATGCGCTTGATCACGACCATGGTTTGAACGTACCCATCACTCCCGCGCTAATGGCGCGCTCTGATTGGCCAGTGTTTTCTCGTTAATAACTCGAAAACGAAACTTTAATCAACATTTTGGCAAAGGAAAAAGTTGTTTAGAATTATCTTAGCAATCATCCCTCCACGGGTCCTAACCCAATTTTAGGCCACCCTGTACAATTCTGTGAGAAAATGTTTAACAATTATTGTACTTTGGAACAGGAGGCGTCGAATCCACCCAAGGGAGGAGGACATCAATTGAAAGCATCCGAACCACAGAGGAAGCCACCAAGTTGGCTTGCACGATGCTCTATACTCTGACCCCTCAGTCAGAATAACCTCGACCGTCACCCTCTACTCTACTTTACCCTCGGTCTCCTTGGCTCGCTTCATGTCGCGAGCACTTCTGTGATTTTACTCCTTGACGGCCACCTTCGTTTCCCTTCGTCGCTGCCGGTCACTCTTTTTTACTGATTATTATTCATAGGAACTCTTTTTATCTTGGAGGAGAAACTCTCTTTCTCTTTCCTCTCTTAAAAGACATTTAAGAGTTCTTGAAGGAAACGATTACGAATTGTGATAATTTTTGATAATTTTTTAACAATTTTCGAGCAATTTCAAGAAGCCGCCTCGAAGATATAATACATACATCATCGTAAAGTCGTTTCCTTACAAGTTTCATGTTGAAGTACCGGAGTGCAATGTACTGAGCTGTTTTATTTTTAGAACGCTTATGTTATACAAGTCGAAGGAGGTGATTTTAATTATCTTTCCTTTCGTTTCTTTCTTTTCTTCACGATCAATGAGCAATTTAGGATATTTAAATCATTGACGTTGAATAATTTCTTCATATACAATCTACTGAGAATTGTACGTCTGTAATAAATGTACAATTCTTATTCGCTTAGTGAAACGTTATTATATTGTAGTCTTTGCTGTATTATTATTTCGTTCATCAAATAAACAAAGCAAGAATGAAGTAATAATTATTGACTTAACAGTTGAATATTTACGGAAGCAATAAATTATTCAAGCATTTCTCTGCATGAGTTACATATATTTCAATTCTGCTTGCTTTCATTTGCACAATTGTTTAATAGTGTATTCGAAAGGAAGATCCTAGAGATTCATCTATGTCTTAGAAATTCATTTTTTGTTATGTACGTTAAATTATGCATGTAAAAAGGAACAGCAAATTAGGATATGCATAATTTTATTTATTCTGTGTTTTTATGTCACGTATGAAGTTTCTCCTCCATGTTTCAATTAATCAAGGGGTAATGATCGATTTTTAACACGAGTTTACATTTACTTTATTTAAACACACAAATGGAAAGCGGAAAGAAGAAGAAGTTTCTCTCCTTGAGAAGTTTCTCCTTTTTTTCTAGTATTTCAAATGTATTTGTTTAGAAAAAAAAAGAAGGGGGTTGCGGATAGGTAAACAATGGGCGGTCATTTTTTATATATAAATATATAAATATATATATATATATATATACACACATCGTCAAGTTAGCTTTTTCACCGGATCGAAGAGAAATTCTTCATTAATTAATTCATTAATTAATTAGCGCAAATTCAGGACTTGAAGAAAAGACTCTTTCAAATTTTGTCTCAAACTTCTTTTTCTTTTTATCGTTGAAGTAATTAAAACAAAAATAAAACTGGAAAAAGATGAAACACGGACACTTCGTCTTCGTTTGAAACGCTTGTTGTAATAGTTTCTTTTTTTTTTTTATAGAAACGGAGGGTTCTCTTTTTTTTTATTTGTTAACGAGGAAAAGGGATTCCAGTCTGTTTCCACTTACACTTAATTATATAATTATTATAATACATTTTATATTAATCCTATTCGTCTATTTTTATTGTTGATACCCGCCTTTTTTCCTTAATGTTGAACGACCAAGTTATATTGTGATTTTCATTATTGTCATCATACATGTTACAATTCTATTAATATTTTATTGATATTATTTATAACTATAATTAACACCAATAACCGATTAATAATCTTTTTAAACTAGGTAAATATGCGCCTTAAGAAAATACTTGAGTACTTTTTTAAAACAAATGTTTTTTACAGTTAAGCTGAATCTATGAATCGCATATGATTTTAGTTGATAGAAGAATAAATTATAGAAAAGAAAAATGCAACGAACTAAATAGCTGTTACTTTCTTACAAACTTGTCGCACTGAAAAACTGGATGACGTTGTATATACAAAATTACTAGTAATTTTTTAAACATTTTATAAGAATAAGCAATGTAATTTTATTTCGAAATACCATTTCGTCGAGTCGAAATGAAGCTATTACTTGTCTGATGTAACGAGAAATTAAACTGAAATAAATGTTGATAACGATCATCAATTATTGTCTCTTTTCATCAGTGACGTGGCATTGATGATTGTATCTGCGAAGAGAATTCTTCGAAGAATTTGTTTAAGTTCTTTTCAAACGTTTCAGAGTTTTGCATTTTAGATTTTGTCTCCATTAATGTTTCTTTTAGCTGAAAGAAATAATGTTATTATGCATCACATTGGATTACTATTATTTGACTAATTCAATATGTACCTCAAAGCATAAATTATCTAATTCTGGGTGTAATTTGTTATTACTAGCTGTTTGGATTGATTCATTCATCGCAAGGACAGTTAATCTATGTTGTAAATTCTTCAGTTCTGCTCTATCTTTTTGATGTATCGCATGGAAACAAAGGCCAAATGTTTGTAATCTTTTATTTAATTGAATTATAGCTTTGGCACTTTCTGTTAAGTACTTCTGCTCCTTTGACAGTTTAGTAATATTCCTAAAATAAAAATATAAACTGGTTAGGATTAATTGAATTTTTCAATAGGATTAACTCTTCAATTTAGATATTATCTTGAATAAGAGTATAGAATTTCTTACATATCAATACTTGCTATAATTTTTTCATTGTTATTTTTCAATTCAATCAGCTCTTTTTTTAGTTCCTCTTTTCGACGTATTTCCCGCCGCAACGTGTTCTCCAAATTCTCTATATGTATTTTGAATTTCGCGGCTTCCGTTTGATTGGACAAAGTTTCTTTTGCTAAGATGTCACGTTCTTTTAGGAGGCTGTCATGATCCATCGATAAGTTTGAATAAAAAATTTTATCATGCATTTTCTCTTCCACTAGGGAACTAATCGTTTCCGTAGCTGATTTCAATCGAATTCGTAAATCATTCGATGTTCTTTGTTCATTTTTCAAAAGCGCGTTCTTCGAGCATAATTCTTCGCGTATTAACAAATGTTCCTTTTCCAATTTATCCAACTCTTTCTGGAAAGAATATTGTTAATTATTTTAATGATGAAATTAATTTTAAATTTGAAAAAATTTACTACCTTGCTCCGTTGAACTTCGTAAATTATTTCGTGAAATCTTTTCTCGAAGTGAGAGATCTCTGGCATGTTAGATAAAAAGCTTTCCATTTTGATATTAAATTCTAATTAATTCTTTCCACAATATCTAATAATAATGTTTTTGTTATTTCATAAAGTTTAGCGGACAGTTTTGCTAACAATATCACTTCGATACAATCGATTTCTCGAATATTTGAAAGAATGAAGGATTAAGTACAATTATAGGTAAAAATAATGAATACAACCTAATTACTTATAAATATGTATAATAATAAGAAATTTATTTTTTTTTATTTTAAATAATATTCTGTATAAAAATTTTAATGACTATCCATGAACTGAATATCTGAAAGTAATAAAACAGTGTTTGGCAATGGCCTAGGCTGTGGACTTAGCACTGTGAACGTTTGCCTCTCTACATCGACATTGGTTCTGTAATGAAAAATATTTTTTATCTTAATAGAAAATGAAAGCATTATCAAATACTATATACTTTATGTAGTAAATCATTTTTTTATTGAACATATGTATCTTAAAATTATATTTTACATACACACAGACAAATCCAGCGACATTAGTTTGTACCACATCGTCTTCCGGTGAATCAGCAAACGAGACTGATAATAAATGATGCAAAAGATTCGGTCCAGGTGTAACAGCCACCAATTTAGTTAGATTATCTTCCGCTTTCATTCCAAGCGGCATACAGGATGCGGGTAATACAGGGGCTCCGATTTTATACAATCTGGCTTCGCTCCATTTCACTTCAAAACTATGCGGATACAACGGAGTTCTAGATCCATAAAAATATTCCCTAACACCTTGGTCCCTAGCTTCCACTCTCTGCGCTTGACTCCTCTCCACGACCCCACCACTTTTTGGTACAAAAACAACTTTAACAAAATCCGGCATATCTCTAACAAGTTCGTTGTAAAGTCTCTCTTGATCTAGTACTAAAATCGCATCGACCTCAAAAGCCTGAGCAGCATGGGTCAATAATTTATATCCATCTCCTTTGACCCAACCACAGGTGTTTATCACAATTCCTGAAACTCTGGCTTTTTTATTAGCTTGAAGTCTATCGGAACAGACTTCTGCAAGTCGTGTTACAAGAAGATTATAAAGAGCAACATTGGCATTTGGAGATTTGTGTCCAAAATGAAAGACCAACGGTGCTTGTTGGCTGAAACCTTCGACTATGCTAGATGGACGTTCGACTAGCAATGCTCCAACGGTGCCTGGTATTGCTATGTGACCTTGGCCAACGTCTAGATCCACAAAGATAGGTCTGCGGCCCATTCTAACCGCATAATTCAATAAAAGCCTACAAAGCGTAGATTTTCCAACATCGCAGGGACCAACGACCATCGTTATCGGTCCTCTGGTGTCGTCTTTCTCTGCATTTTCTCTGAGCCTTTCCATCGCAGCATGGCAATTTAAGTAAAGACCCATCGGAGTCTCTTTGGCAACGTAACTAACATCAGTTTTTCCAACTAATTCTACCGTACAACCCTGCCAAGTAAATACAGCAACTTTAGCTCCAGCAGTGAATTCATATTTCTTTCCTTTTACTAGTTCTGTGCCGAATACTTCTGCCAAACCAGTTTTCAACTACCAGAAAACAAACAGATGAATTAATCAGTATGTGTGTTTACTGAATGTATTTATAAGCGAATAAATCATTTACCTCCAGTGTAACTTTTTCATTCTTTGATTCAACCTCGAATCGTAATTCACAGTCTGGATCTAATTTAAACTCTTGAGTTTGTGCTTTCTCGTCTGTCATTTTATGAATATATTACACTTCTTCTTACATGCCTGATGATAATATTTTTATAGCAGTTATTCTTTTCCTTATTTTTCTGCGATATTCTTATTTTGTTTATACAGACTATCTTAACCTCTATACGATTATTCGTATGTATACGCCAGTATACGCTAGTGACTAGAGATACAAAATGATTGAACATGCCTTTGTTCTTGAGAGGTTATGATGTAATTTTGGGTGTCCCAGGCACCCTCAGGTGAAATTGAAACTTGTATTACCAGTCCTTTTTACCACACCTTGCACTGACTATCGTAAAGACACAGTTTTGACTCTTTTTAATTTTCTTCTTGTTTAGAAACCAGTTAGAATCGGTACAAGATCGAAAAATTATTAAAATAATTGTTTGACAAACTTGTAGTTCAAAAAGAGCGCCATAAATTAAATATTTTTAATTTCGAGCCTAGCGCCATCTATACAAAAATGACTGAAACTATCCGATAACTTACCGACCGAAATTGCGGGGAACACTTGCGCCATCTATAAGAAAACCGCGGAAACAACTTATCGATTCGTTTCAGCAGTTCCTTGATAGATGGCGCAAGTGTTCTCTTTGCGAACCTGGTCGGTAAATTGTAGAGTAGTTTCAGCCGTTTTTGTATAGATGGCGCTAGGATCGAATTTCAAAAGTACTTAGTTTATGGCGGTCTTTTTAAAATACATTTTACGAATAGAAAGTCAAACATTTATCTTATTAATTTGTCGGTCTTGTGTTAATTCTAACTGAATTCTTTATAATAAATAAATCAAAAGGAGTCAAAATGAGTCTTTATGGTTGTCAATGCCGGATATGGTGAAAGAAATTGGTAAGACAGGTACGATTGTTATACATACTATTCTTTACACGTAGATTTAACCTTACCCCGGGGTTCCTGAGGACCCCAAGTCCACTACCATGATGCATGTGTTTCTTAACCATGTTATTCACATTTAAATGTTGAATTGATACAATGGTTTTAAATAATAAATTATTAACAATTAATCAATTACTACAAAATGTTAGGTAAGTAATGAAGTATTAGATAAAAAATTACTTGCTCGTAGGTAAAATAGTTATTAATTATTTTCACTGTTAACTTTTCATTGATGAATGTGATGTTAAATAGTAGGAAGGCATTTGAACTAACATGGACTTATATATTTAATTATTTACAGACGATTTCATTGTTCAAAAGTTAAAAAAGCATACGAAGGAAGTGGTAAATCAACTATGCATATTATTAATGTTGCTGGCCCCAAATTGTTCATAACTAAATGCTCATCGGTACAAAATGATTCTGTCATAATTTTGTGTCACAAGCTTCTCAAGCTTTACATTTGTTGTTATCTTTTTTTTTACAGATAGGATTCCAATTAAGCGATAATTCAATGGTAGTGGGTCCACTTGCAATTTTTGCAAGAACTATTTTATGTTGGAACATTGCTTGTGCGAAAAACATAAGCGAAGCAAATTTATCTTTATTTACTGCCCTTGAACCAAAACTGGATGTGTTAATCCTAGGTTTAGAAACCAAGTACGACCAGAAGACACTGAATGCAATAAAGAAAATAACTAGTGAAAAGAATATCAACACTGAAATATTGCCTGTAGATCAAGCGTGTGGTATATACAATTTCCTTTGCGAGGAAGGTAGATATGTTGCAGCAGGTTTAATACCGCCTTTACCAGAGGAGACACATTTCTATAAAAAATTAACAACTAACTTAAAAAGTCTACAAAAGGATAAGCTGATAGAATGAATAATTTAAATGTAAATATTTGTATATTATATTTGAAATGAACATTAGTACTAAATATAATATTAATGGATTATTTATATGATAGTAAAATACATGTAAAATAAAATTTGACTTTGTTGTTTAATGACATTAATTGTTTTTATTTAAAGTACTTGATAGCTGTGACTACAGATACAGAAAGACATGTAATAAAACCGTATAAGAGATTGAATTAATTTAATATCATATTTTTAACAATTAAAACTGAAGTAAAATTAATCAGGAAATTATAGATATATATATTTATTTACAGTGTAATATTTGTTACATTCAAAATCAGTTTTAAACGAAGTTTAATGAGGGCACCACTGTTTCTGTATCACCACTATAGCACACTGTAGTCTTGTAACAGTAACTATAGAGTAGTTGTTTTGTTTTCGATTCTTACTGCAGTATTTATTTCAGTATTTAATTTCAATTAGACATTGTAATCCCTTCTAAATATAGTAAATAAATAATAGTAATTTAACAAACTGTGAGTTATAGTGTATTTATGCATTGAATGGTGTGAAAATCAATTGACAGATTTCGAGACTGCAACAAATTAACCAAGCTGTTAAAAAGTAATCAATGTTAAACATTAATCACGTTTTAGTTCAAACATTTCAGCAACATTTTATTTAAAAACTCATAATTTTATGTACGGGCTTGACTTGAACATGAATAAGTAATTAAATGGTCTTGCTACGCAAGGTGCTGATCAATTTGACACTTCTGGCTGTGTTGCTTGTATTGTTTTATTGTTACCAAACGTCAAATGGTATACACTGGGTGTTACACACTTACGAGCAAGAGAACATTTCGACCACAGAGTCGAACAATGGAGAGAATACCAGTTCCGCAACATTTGTTGCAAGCGAAAAGATGTACTATAATGTGTGGTGCATCTTCACAAAAGTTGCTAGTAACTCACCGATGAAACGAAAATTTGAAATCTTTGCAGATTCTCTACTCAGATTATCTTCTGTTGATATTGCAATTCATGTTATAACCGATGATGATAGTAAACAAGTTGCGGAACAAGTTTTGAAGGGTATTCTATTGTCTACAGGAAAGTTTATGAAGGTAGATCTTTTAACAAAAGTGAACATGCGATTCTTTCAAATTTTCTTTAATAACTGTCCGGCTTTCTTTGTTTCAGGTGCAGTATTATGATGTCCATGAACTGGCATTGCAACTGGAAGACATCATATCCGTTATGTCTCCACACTTCAGTAGCAAACCAGGAACTTATTACTCCGATGCTTTGTTTTTCCTATCGTTGGGTCTGCATCGAATAGCACCAGCTGAACAAAACGTTGCTGCAATGTTCGATGCAGACACAAAGTTCCGCAAGGATATTAAGGAGCTTTTCGAAGAGTTTAATAGTTTTGGAGAGGAAGCACTGTTCGGTCTGGCACCAGAGCTTACTCCTGTTTATAGACACGTTTTATATTTATACCGTAACAAGCATCCTGATACATTATTCGGAGAACCTGCTAGTTCTGGTGGTTATCCTGGTTACAACAGCGGAGTGGTGCTTTTCAATCTTAATAAATTACGAAATTCTTCCATTTATAATAAAATTGTTAAAAGAGAAAGTGTTAATTCGATAACTGAAAAATATCACTTCAAGGTAATATATGTTACTTGATCAGTTTTCTTTTTTCTGATAAATTGTTATTATGGAATTTGTTTACAGGGTCATTTAGGAGACCAAGACTTTTATACACTTTTGGGAATGGAAAGACCCGAATTGATTCACACCATTGACTGCGGATGGAACAGGCAATTGTGTACATGGTGGAGGGATCGTGGTTACGCTGATGTATTTGGATCTCATTCTAAATGTGATTCTGAAACGAAATTGTGGCACGGTAATTGCAACACTCCTATACCCGACGACTGATCCAGATCTCTTTGTTAAAAAAACGAGGGCACAAACTGTAATAATTATTAGTGCAATTGCAAAAGTTTTATAACCCGTACCTGTTGCTATTTGAATGTCAGCGTTCAGTTTGAAAGATCTGTGATCCTTTGGTGGCAATATGTATCATCTTTCATTATTGTGGCAATATTTTTAGCTATTACGTGAATTGTATCATTCAGCGGTGCCTATGAATGATATTTTTTAAGATATTAATTCTCTATTTTATATATTTCAAATATATATATGTTGTAATTAAAGAAAACTTGAAATATGATTTTTCAAAATTAATTTTAAATAAATTACTAGATATATCTTGTAAAATATATAGGTGCTATTTTTATATTGTTAGACAACAATAATTTTATCTCAATAATGCTATCATATGAAAGTATTTTTTCAATGATTAAACTATTTACATAAGCGTACAATGTTATCTTCATTTTTCTATTCCCTTAGTTCCCCTTGAAGTTCCAATAAAATTATATTTGCTGTAATCATTTGAAATTACTTCGGGTGTTGTCTGATATGGGTCCCATGCATATTAGAGTGCCATATAACAATAATAGATTTAGGTTAGGGTTAGATTTATGGGACCCATATCAGACAATCCCCGGGTCCTATAAACCTAAACTTAATCCTAACCTAAACCTATTATTATTATTAATTATTATTGTATAATTGGCCGCTCACTGATAATTGGTATTTGTATAATTGAAATTATTTTTGCGTGTATGATTGCGTACGTCATTTATTGTTATATGGTACTCTAATATGCATGGGACCCATACCAGCCAACACCCATTACTTTTTAGGTTATTTTAAAAGAGAAATCAGCCGTTTCATTTTTTTTTTACTTTTAATGGAACTATAAATAATAACATGTATAAATAAATGTGTCGCCGTAATATATTTTTACGCAAAAAGAAAATAATATTAAATACAGTATTAACACATTTTATGCTATTTACAGTAAATAATACGTTCTTCCACTGCGATTACTGTTTGCCATTAAATTTCCATTTGATGTTCACAATCTGTAAAATAATTGTACCTTTCTAACTGGTTAATTGATCACAGTAATTTTGAAATCCTTTTTGTTTAAATAACATCGTTATTAATGCAAAATTAACACAACATATTTTCTATTTGGTCGTTGAAACTTTGTTACAATAACCGCACAAAGCATTCTAATGAAATAAAATTTATTTTCTTAACAGTTGTATAATTGTAAACGCAGAAGATGAAAGTTAATTGTTAAATAAACATTCGTTGTTTGTATGGAAACACAAGTTAGAGAACAAGCTTTGTTAACACACGTTTCTCAATTTTCAAACTATGACTGACCAGATTTTTCTCAACAAATAAACAAGAAAATAATAATAAGAACGACTATCGTTCATAGTTATACACACACACCCTAGCTGCATTTGAATTCGTTGTACAGTACGTAAAATAAAAGATGTCACCTTTGGTCCCAGTGATAGAAACTTAATGTTAATTGTAAAGAATAGGACGTGTTAGTCAACGTTTACTCAGCCTTTCGACCCTAACCTCTTGTTCATCGAAGTTAGAACCGAATGGCTGAAGAACTAAAAGAAGAAAAGAGAAAAAAAAACTTAACAAAAATTACGTAGACTGTGTCGTGTAAATGAGCAACATCGTTTCAAACGAACTTGAGTTCGTTGACTATTTGGACATGGTAATACAAGACTCTCCCTATCGCTTTACACGCCTAAACCATATTTACATTATATTTTTTTAATCGACCATTTAACGACAACTATTCCCCCTTTCAGTTGTCCAACTTTTTACACACGATATTTACACGTGAGCAACTAACGTGGTTGGTTGTTCCTACAAACTATTGGCCATTAAACCACTGAAACATTTGTAAGAAGTCTGACAATCAATACAGGAAAGAGAGTCGAAGAAAAGTGACATAAGTAATTGTTGACTAAACTTCTGACGATGATTGAAAAATATATAAATAAATCTCTTCTTTTAAGACTCTTTCCTATTATTGTCAAACATCTCCTATCGCTAAAACTGTACAATTTAGAGCACCAAAGCATTCATGGAATGATATTCTTCGTTGGCTGTTCTTCAAGAAACTTGAAACCCTTGAAATTATTGTGAATTCACAGTTAAGCGTGTAACGAGCTTAACACCTTTCCGCAGCCTGCAATAATAAATTCTTTGTATATCTAACACTGAATTTACAAAAAGTATTTTTTGTAGGATGATTTGTTATTTTTTTACAAGTAATTAATTCAGTGCCTTTTCTTTTTTTAATTAATGGCTTATTTTTACTACAATTATTGAATTTATTATTATATATATATTCTCGCGCCATTTTTCAAATTCACAAAAGCGCGGGAAAAGTATTCGAATTTAAAATAGTAACTAAGAAAGTGTAATATTAAAGGTACCGAATTAAAATAAAATTAAAATGCTTACGTTCTTCAAATTCTCTCGACCACCAAAATTCCTAATAGATTCCAACAACATGTCCCTCGAGTCCATTTGAACAGGCATAGATTTTGGTCTGGTACTTTTCAACGTAACACCTGTGATGACAGGCATCGTAGGAGGTTTTGGAGGTTGGGAATCACCGTTCAATTCCTTGGACCTTTCTTTCAATAAATTATTCTGATTTTCCTGACTCCCTTCAATTTTTACATTCGATATCTTGAATCCTTTTACAACAGGCATGGGCGGATTGCATTTACCATTGATGGCGTTTCTGAAAGCGAGGTTAGTTTGATTTTGAGGTTGCATGCCTACTATTGTGGTGAACCTCTTAACTTTAGAATGGTCTTGGAAGCCGTTCGTTGAACACTGATCAGAATTAGCGTGTCCGTTCTGTTTACTGGAATCTCTTTCCAATTGAAGATCCGAGCGTCGGTTTACATTGATACGTTTTGGTTTTGGTCGCAGATAGACCTCCTGATCAAACGCTTTGGACAATTCTTTGAAGTTCATAGGCGTGGTGTCTATAACACTGTCATCTTGTTTATTTTCCAGGAAGCTTTTCTTCAGCTCTACACCTGTCACCACAGGTTTATCGCTTACAGTTTTTGACTCTGAATTGACTTTATTCAATACTGGCTTCTTGAAGCCAGACGCTGTGGTATGAGTGATCAGTTTCTTAGTCAATTCATTAGGTTCTCTTCTATCTGCAATTTCAAACTTACTCCTCTGTGATTTAACAGTATCTTCCATGTTAGAACCATTCGTCTCTTCCTTACTGCCATTTATATCTACAACAGTTCTGTTGCTCTTACTTGCTCCAAATTTGTAATCTGTGTCCTTTTTAATCTGAACGTTAATATTGGGTCGATCTGACCAGCTGCCTAAGGATATCGCAGGGGGTCCTGAATAGGTGTACCGTTTTGCACTTGTTTCTGATGGCAACTTCTTGAATTCTGGTTTCTTGTTGCTCGGTGCTGCTTGAGAATCACGAGTTGAAACTACGTTTAATTCCATCGAATGTTCGTTAGATGTAGTAGTTTCCGGTCTGAAACAAGAGGAACTTTGTTAATACATAGACAAATAAGGAAAGTAGTGATAAAACTTCTTTTAACATTAGAACTGCCAAAGGGGTTAGGGTTAGGTTTAGGGTTAGGTAAGTGTGCATCAAACGTCTGTAAGAGAAGCCTAAGTTTCATATAACTATACCTCGTTTTCTCCTGTAATACTGTATTATTCAATTCTTTGGACACATTTTCCTCCGCCTGTTGAGCACTTTTCAACTGCGGCAAAATGCTCTTCAGCACCTGAAAATGCATTTAAAAATATTAATGAACAGTCAGTTCTTTAGAAGATTCCTCAATGAAACTACCTGTACAGATTGCAGTTGACTTTCTTTGGTAGGTTCTTCTTGCCGCTTCAGAATGTTATCCCTCCACCTTGAGAATTTCTCGTTGCTCCTGACTGCAGTTGAATTCAAGCTGTTAATGCTGGTCGCTTTCTTCATACCAGCATCCATCTCCAACTCAGCGCTATTTTTATCATCATCTTCACAAGTGCCTCCTTGGAACTTGGCCTTGTCGCATACAGATAAGTAACTCTTTGATCGTTGGATATTGCTTTTCTCATTGTTGGTCTGCCACCTTTGCAACGTCTCTGTTCTGTTTATCTTTGGTTCCTGTTTCTTCTCCTGCAATGTTCCTGAACTGAAATCCGTCAGATCTCTGTCCTGGTTCCTGGACAGGGTTGCAAACGACCTGACGAATCTCTCGTCCGTGTTCTTCTTACGAGATTGTTGCTCTACTTCTTCGAATATGTTCAGATTCTTCTGTCTGGTGTACGTTGTGATAGTGAAATTCGACAGGGTATTGTCTACAGGGGCTACCTTAGGAGCTGAAGAGTTACTCGATGCTCTCCTTGAGTCCACATCCTTTGCAGTCTGAGGTAAGCTACTAATTTTGTTCTCCAATTCGTTGATCACTTCTTTCTTCATGCTTGATTCAACTCGTTTGAATACTTTTTCATGAGTTGCTTCTTTCTTTAGAGTCTCTTTGCTTTCTTGCTTCTTTGGATGATGTTCTTTCAAAGAATCCTTTGGATCATTGGTACCTGAAAATTCAGGTTCCTTGATCTTAGAATCCTTTGTAATCTCAGAGGATGGAGTGATCTCATCAAAATTGTCGAACACTGGAGAAGAGCTGTCCCGGAAGGCACTTGGTGGAGCTGGAAGCTGGTATTCCCATTCAGCTATGGACAGGTCTTCATCCGCAGCTGATACGTAGTCTGATGTATCTTGCTGGGAATTTGCAGTCAGATTCATAGCGTTAGTGGAGTTTGAGCTATCCGCAGAATCAATGTCCTTGTTCTTTTGATCCGTGTCTTTGGGGATGTTTATTTTTGACTTTGTTTCAGTTGAAGCCTTTTCGTTGGAAACTGGTAAAGAGTTGGAGAGGGTGTCGGACACCTTCTGCAGTAAAACATCCGTTTCTGAGAATTCTTTATCTGTAATACAACATTATGGGAAGTTTATGTAAACTGTATTTTTGTATAAAATAAATTATTAATTGTAAACAAAAGATATTAATAAGAAATTGAAAACTATTTACAATAGATTTAGGATAACCTTTGATGTTAGAATTTAAATCTCTAGTTCAATTATATACAAAGTGATTTTAGATTTAGTCGGCTGAAAAACTAATACAATAAAAATCTTAAATGCCCATCACCACACGTATTAGTGATATGCAACATGCACCTGATGCATTCATTTCAGGATGAGACTTTCCTCCACCCACACCCTGGGAACAATTGTTCTGCTTCTCCTCCAGCTGCTGCACATTTCCCTGAAACTTTTCTGACCGGTCAGACAATAAGCCAACATTAGACGCCACATTCAAGTTCAAAGCAAACGTGATATCTTCCAACTGGGACGTCAAATGTCTCCTTTGCCTTTCCAGAGAGTTTGTCTCAAAATCATTCGACTTTGATGCTGTTCTAGGGATTCTGGTTCGCTTTGGGTCTTTTATACCTTCCTTCTCTTTGTTCTGAGTCTTCGTATTGTCAACATTCAGCGCATTCAGTACTTCACACTTTGGTATCGTTGAAATCACAGCGCACAGTTTCTTCTCTTGATTAGAACTGCCTTTCGCTGTTGAAGGATTTTCTATATTCTTTTCTTTGCTGCTGCATACCTCCTCTTCTTTATTATCTGTCTGTACAGCAGTCAATGATTCAACTTCATTTTCTTTCAGAATTACAGAGTTGTAATCAAAGGTTGCTTCACTCTGATCAACTCCAGGCGTCAGAAATACTTCACTCTCGCTGGTGGAACAATTGGAAGCTGTTTCTAGCTTTTCTTCAAAGTTTGTAGAACTCTGAACGACCTCTGAACTCGCGTCAGTCGAAGAAACATCGATGCTGGGGTTTGTGCCAGCGTTCAACAGGCGCTCTACATTGTCGGAGCCACTACTGAGGGTGTTACTCGGTGGAAAAGACGGTGCTAGCTTGCGTTTTGGCACCACGGGTCGCGGGGCTGCTTTTCTAGGCTTTGGAAGTGGAACAGGTTCTCCAACTGTACTCGATGGGAAAGAAAAAAAGAAGATACCATCACCGAAGGGTATAGATAGCTAAGCGGATGAAAACATAGGGATAAGAATTTCTAGAAGCATGCAACAATTGTTACTATAACTGTACAAGGGCAAGTGTATGTTTCTTGATGAAATGTACTGTACAAGAATTTCTATACTTATGGTGGTCAAATATTGCATGGAAATATGTACATGGAAATCTTGAAAAGACAAAGCAATAAAACATAACCTATAACGTTTCTGAGGTAGAGAATGGAATGGATATTTCAATCTAAAGTTTAAACAAATTCCCCGACTCTACTTTCCAATATGGAGTTTAACTGAATTAAAAATCTGTTCCAACTTTCAGTGGACTCTTTTCGACTAACCAAACCAGGTGGTGGAGGTTCCAGTATGCTCAACTTTTTCTCTGATTCCAATTTACACTCGCTGTGCTGGATAATGGGTAAAGATGGTAATTTATCAACGTTGCTAGGCACTGGTGGCTCTATGCTCGTTACTGGAATATCTAAAGGCTTCCTGGATATTGCAAATATCTGCAAGCTACTCAAGGGCGGTGGGGAAGGGTTAGATCTACGGATAGCTGTTGCCCTGCCAAAAGTTTCTTCGTTAAGACTCGAGGAAATTAAACCGTCGTAACACCTAGTCGTGCTTACGTTCCCTAGCTTTGCTTGTCCATCATTGATCAACTCTGAGCTATCATCAGAAAAGCTATTTCTAACAGAGAAGCTTTGGGAGCTCGACAACCTTGGCTTTTCAAAATTACTCACTATCTTGGTCTCCCTTAATTTGTACCCCACTTGAAAGCTTGAACTATACTTCAGTGTTTTAGCCTGACACCTCTGGTCACAAATATAATTATCCAGCTGCAATTTAATAGGACTAAACCTGTTCTCCGGTGCACCACATTCTGGCACATTTTCAATATCTGTCTCTATATCATCCAAATGGGCAACAGTCTGCATTTTAACCAACCTACTCTGTGATTTAAACGACTTCTGACGAGTGAACTGCTTACTTCCCTGAAAACTAGCTGTTTTTGACCACTCCGTAACCTTAGGGACAACAATGTTTGAACAAGCAAAGCTCTGAGACTTCTGCAGCTTAGAATTTGTTTTAGCAGAATTCTTATCACCGTCTAAGGACCTAGCTTTGAACATGACTGATGCACTTTTGACAAAAGTATCCGTAAGATCATCTGAGAGATCACTCAACCTACGCTCTGCTTTGCACTCCTCAATTCTTGAATGCAGTTTAATTTTCTCAGTGTCGAACAGACTTCTATGCTTCTTAGCAACGTCCATTCCATTCTCTGCGTTCTCAAAACTGTTCTTGGACACGAAACTATAAGAGGGTAGGTCGTTCTCTATGCTACCGCAACTACGAACTAGCTTACCTCTCTTTCGCGATACTCTAGCGTCTACAGGAGCGTCTTCTATAGGTGTGGGATTTCCAGCCATCGTGTTCGACGACTTAACGTTCACGAATCCTGATCTATGACGCGTTTCGATGTCTGACTTGCTGCTCTTCAGCTCTGCGTCCGCGTTTGGACAGTCTGATTTGGTGAAATCAACCGTGGACGAGAGTTTCGTGGGTATGGTGGTCACTCCGATGTCGGAGCTGGCCTTTGGACGTTCCTCGATGTCCGAGTTTGCTTTGGAGGATGCACTGATGTCGGAAGGAGGTTTGGAGGGATCCATGTCGGATGTTAACGACTCTTCGGAGTCGACGATGCGCTCTAATCCTTGGGAGGAGATTGCGGATGACAAGGGCCTGGTTACCGGCGGAGGAGGTGCCGCCCTCTTCTTTCTTAATCCTGAAAAGGAAACCTCCATCAGAATATACAATATTCTCCAATGCACAATTTCCTAAAATTATATGAAGATGGTGTGAAAGAGTGGAAAAAGAGAGTAAATCATGAGAGGAGGGCTTATATAGAAGGGGTTTTCCTCAAGGCTGAAGCAAATATTTGGATTTAGCTTGATTCACCTACGAAATTTAAAATAATTCTACCTGTGGAACTTATAGAGGTGCTGCTAATTCCATGGCTAAGCGTGCCAGGCACAGTGGCCAAGTTTCCCAGACTTTTGCTAGACTGCGACGTCTGCGCCAGCTTTCTCGGCGTCTCCGTTGGAACTTTATTTCTCCTGGGTAAAGTTTCTGGAAGTCTTCCAGTAGATTCTGGGTTATCGCTTAGAACAGAGGCTTCATGGTATCCAGAACTGTCGCTGCTGTTGCGACTGTGACTGATGACCACTTTGTCCTTGCTGGAATCTCCAGAGCTCTCTTCTGTGCCCTAAAATGATGAAAATACGCCATTCGGATCATCCTCCTCTCGGACCAGCAAGTTCTACTGTCATTGCTGACCTCAGCTTGAGCCGGAACAGGTGGCCTTGGCGCGGGTCTCCGTTTCCTCTGAGGCCTGGCAGGTGGTTGAAGAGGACTCGAGCTTCTCCCGGTCTCGTCGCTTCTAGCAGGGGACGCGCTACGCCCGCCCAGGCTGTCGGTGCTCAGAGAGCTCTCCTTCGACTTCTTGTAAAAGCTAAATACACCCTGTTTCGCCTGCTGCCTGCGACGCTCTTCTTGCCTCTGCAGAGCCATTATGTCCTGGGTACTCAGAGCGGAGCCCAATGTTCTTCCTTGCTTTGCATACAGGGTAACTTCCTGTAGGTGGTAATCCTGCAGGGTCAGCGACAAGTCCAGGGTCTCCTCCAAGTTTGCTGAAAGTCAATTTGAATTTTTAATTTTCAATATAAATCCACAATGCCATCGGTTGTACTATTGTAACGCTGGGGTTCGATGATTAGAAGGTGTCTGACGTGTATCCTCACTAAAACTTACGAGTCGTAAAGGCCCTAAGAGAGATTCTTCTAGGTCCAAGGAACGCGTATGAGAGCAACGCGAGAGTTGACGCTTCCGCGAGGACGAGCAGGATGAAAGTAACGCGAGGCATGCACGCTTAACGACCAAGAGTAACAAGTGGAGGAGCCAGGCCGGCCGGCAACCTTGCGATAGCGATCTTAACACAACTGGCCGGTGTAACTAGCTCTAACTGAAATATCCTCGTAACTGCGGCAGATATATAATCGAGGGAGAGGCTGCCGGTATCGGGGATACGCTTCGGCGTCGAGAAGATAGCCGAGGCATTTACTGGTAAATCTGGTTGCGCTCGTCCAGCGTGGCTCAGTGTTCTGCTTATAACTTGGGATCGATGATCTATAGGGTGAGTCAATTGCAATCGCCGTCATAAAATCCTGGATCGAATCGCACTCGTATTCCGATGACTTACGTCCACTCGGTGAACAGGAATGTTGAATTTCAAGAAAATTGGATCGAGGAGGTTCCTATGTGTGCGCGGAGATATGTATTTTTATATTCATGATCTGGATGGCTTCTGAAGCCATATACACACACCCTTCCACGAAGCTGGTACAAGCACACGGTTACTGACTTCTCTGGCCTCAAATCTCTGATAAATATTTCTGAAAATTGATACCTACAGTCGTCGCACAAATAACTTTAATTACACTGCACGGTTTAGCACAAGGAGCTAGATTTTTCATTTTTTTTTACAATATTTTGGAATTAATTAATATTTTTTAAAGAGAACAGCAGGTTCTGTGTGCTCGTTTCAATTTCAACTGCGCTTTATTAAAACGCTATCGAATTTAAAGACTTAGCTGCTATCTGAAAAAGATAAAGCTGGCATTTTGTGTTAACAGAAACACACGTTTTCAACGATGTCAAAATCTGTTTACCAAAAGGCTGAGACTGGTTTTGAGATAAATTGATTGAGTGGGAAAAGCATCTTGAATGATATTGTTTCCTCTTCTAGTTATACTAATATACTAATCTTTTTTTTTAAGTGTGGTGACAAGAATTTCATTTTAATTTGCCTCTTATAAAAAAGAAATACAGCATTAAAAATATGAATAAATTAAGGAAACCAGTTGAGGGGACAAAACTGGTCACTGTTACCGGTTTAAATATCAAACGTGAACGAATCAGTCTATTTCCTTCCCAGATTACCAATATTCGTCCAATCAAATCAAACAACCTAATCCAACAACTCTCTCTTGGATAATAAATCCATAACCCTTTCCTTATTTTTACCTAAGCCTCTTAACAAAATTTTCCATCTGTTGATATTTACAGATTGAAATAATAATTAGTAAGTGCAAACAACTGTTGTATATTTTCAAAGTGATTTACATACCTGGATGACGTAGCTCATATTTATTCTTGTCCAAATTCTTCTCACGACACACCTCATCCAAAATTTCACCCAAATTCATTTTAGGACTGACTCTGGATACGTACAACTGGTTTCTTGGTAGATGTACCTGCAGCAGTTGCACAATAACCATAATCATTGATTATCTGATGATCAATCAGAGATAAAAGAGGTGTTTGTGGAAATGGAAAGATTACAAGTTGAAGAGTGTCTTTACCTGCAACCTAAATGTTGTTTCGAAAGGCTGATTAGCCTGCTTTGCTTTCCTTGGTACAAAAGTTCCTTGTTTTGGTAGTAGCTTCACCTGTAATCCAAACACACAGTTATCAAATTATTATAATACAGAATATAGGCTGCAGCTTATCTGGATCATTCCATCAACTATTTTTTATCATTACTGATTATAGACTATTAAGATGATCTTGCTTGGCCAACTGTTTCCCTTCCAAGAAGCATACACTTTGTATCCATAAAAAAAAATGGTGAATGTGATTCCTCGAAGAAAAGGATTAGCGTTATTTTGATTAGAAGTCGGCGAAACGGTTTGAAGAAATTAGAAGAAGCCTAATGAAGGCTTAAGATCACGCGATTCAAAGAACTCCAAGCTGCTTCCTCAAGTCTAAACTATTCATTTAACTGGGCAGAAAAACAGGATTCCAATGCTCCAACTTCTTTTCAGGATTCTTTTATAAAATTAACTATTTGCATTGCTCCTGTTATATCCTTAATGATCCTTATTAATGAAGGAATCCAAATGGGAGGTTCACTCTAAAAGTTTTGAGAACCATTCAGTTTATCAAGCTTGGTTTACTTACAACTGATGGATTCTCAAAACTTTCAGCGTTTCCCCTCTAGTTTTATACCTGCAAGAAAGCACACATTCTCTTAGAATCTACACAAGCAGTTGACTGAAACAGCTGTACAGTTAATGGAATGACAAAAATGATTGGATAACAGTACCTGAAGTGCATCCAAAGCGCCTATTGGCGTGTTGGGTTGATGAGGTAGAACCATGCCTCGCTCTCCTATCGCTTGCAGGGTGTAGCTGGAAGCGGCCAATTTGTGGGCCGTGGCGATCTGCACGAGGAGGTCCATCATCGGCGTACTGTGAACACAGAGAGATCCAAGAAACCCTTACCCGGTGCTCATGGCGGAAATAATAAGTCATGCCACGTTATTCCTGCACCGTTCCACGGCATTGCGTCGACGCGTCCCAGAGATGTTCGACCGTGCCACGGTTTGCAGCTGTTGCATCTCGTCAGGAACATGACGATGCAGGAATACATAAAACTTTTTCGTCTATTTTGCCTGGACAGGTAAGGACGATTGATAGGAAGGTGACTGGAGAGAAGAGTTAACACAGTGTGACTAAAGGACGTAGGAGATGATGCCGCTCAGTGAGATGAACCGTAGGTCCTGATAAGGGGTAGGTACTTCTACCCTCTTATAGGAGATCTGGGCCCAATGTGGTAAGTTGCAGGGAGGGCCCAATGTGTTAAGTTTACGGGAAGGTCTAATGTATTAAGTTTGAGGGAGGGTCTATTGTGTTAGGCTTGAAGAAGGGTCCAACATGGTAAGTTTGAAGGAAGGTCTAATGTATTAAGTTTGAGGGAGGGCCTATTGTGTTAAGCTTGAAGGAGGGCCCAATATATTAAATTTGAGAAAAGGCCCAATATATTAAATTTAAGAAAAGGCCCAATGTGTTAAGTTTGACAGAGGACCCAATGTGTTAAGTTTGAAAGAGGACCCAAAGTATTAAGTTTGAAGGAGGGCCCAATGTGTTAAGTTTAAGGGAAGGTCTATTGTATTAAGTTTGAGGGAGGGTCTATTGTGTAACGCTTGAAGGAGGGTCCAACATGGTAAGTTTGAGGGAAGGTCTAATGTATTAAGTTTGAGGGAAGGCCTATTGTGTTAAGCTTGAAGGAGGGCCCAATATGTTAAATTTGAGAAAAGGTTCAATATATTAAATTTAAGAAAAGGCCCAATGTGTTAAGTTTGAAAGAGGACCCAATGTATTAAGTTTGAAGAAGGGCCCAATGTATTAAGTTTGAAGGAAGGCCCAATGTGTTAAGTTTGAAGGAGGGCCCAATATATTAAGTTTGAGGGGAGGCCCAAT